TGTTCTTCACCAAATCCAACCCAATAACTACTCGCTACATTTGCTCGGAGCATTTCCCTTGGACGTGTCAATGGATACCTTAGTTCCTGCACATCCAGCAAGAGATCCACTGATTGAATCCTCGAACATTGCCCAACGGAGGATTTCCATGGGTTCCATCTCTTTGGGGGTAAATCACTGAATTTGAGAGCATGTCTTGGCCCTTACCGCCACAGCTCGCTTCATTCCTACCAGGCACGGATGCGGCAAGCCACGCAGGAAGAGCTACGAGTTATCAGTGGAGTTGGTGAAGTGATAGACGTTGATTACAGCAGTGGCCCAGAATCTCAGGCTGGATTAGCTTTGCGGGGAAGGAACTGAGCGCATGTTACCTGCCTCTGCTTGTTCGCCTCTCGGTCCGGTCACGGGCGCGGCCCTCCATGTGATGCAGCCATCGGCCGGGATCATCTCACGTGGAAGCGCAGCACACGCCTGTCCATTGGCGATCATCGAGGGTCGCGCGGGGGGTGGACTGGCATTCCTCTGGCTGGTGCTGGGAGACATCCCCTAGTGGGGTTGATTACCCTGAAGCGTGGACAGAACGTCAACTAGATTGATATGACAAACCGGCAGGGCTTGGTCGGTTGATCACGTCGACAGCTGCGTCCCGTCTATCTTGATGGACTTTTCAGGCATGGGAATAAACAATGCAATGCGAGACATATATGAGTGCGCGCCCCGCTGATAGGAAAGCAAGCGTCTCGGCTGCAACCACCCGAACAATATATATTTGTGATGAAAAGGGGGGGGGGACCAGTTGGGTCATTCACCATCTGTCTGGTGATCGATCATATTGCAACCCTTCGGGTGAGCTCAAGTTGTTGTTTAGAACCTCACCGTCTAAGCATCGTGTAAAATAGGTTTCACCGCAACTCAGACCAGTCGAGCTGGTCGACCGCGAAGAATGTCAACCCAAGACCAGTGGCGCAATTGGCCCTGGGTACTGGGTAGTAGTGATCATGGAGTGAACCGTTAGCTTCCGAGGTGGAACCGGGGCAAAGCTGCCCCCATGATAACGAGGGCATCGGTGAAGGACGAGGAGGGTTCGATTGGTTCGCTTGAAGGAAGAGGACGTTTTCGCCGCGTATGAAATTGGTAGAGACTTTGACTATCAGTTAGTGAACCATAAGAGCCATAATAAGTGTGATTTTGAATTGAGTTGCGATTGAAAGATCAACCCAGCAAGAAGCGGTGGGAGAAGGAAGAAAGAAGAGATGACGAGATGACGATGACGATGGATGGGAGAGATAAACAATAGTCAGACACTGCTATAACAGAGTCGCGAAGTAGTACGTAATTCGATTTCCGTAGAAGTTGGGGAATCTGAGACCAGGAACCGGGGATCATCTGGTCAATTGGATGTTCATGGATAGTGCAGCCATCGCAGGTGTTTGTTCCTGATAGAAGATTGCAATATCAGTAGGTTAGTTACTGAGTAATGCTGGTAGACTGATTGTAAAGATCTCCGACCGGTGGAGCTTTCTCAGACTGGCAGATGATGGAGTGCGCGCGCTCTTGCCTGCTTACTTGCCTGCTTACTTGCCTGCTTGCTTTGCTAGCTTCCTCCCAACCTCCACTATTGTAATGTCACCATTCACCAACTAAACTACCTACTGCTACAACCACTGCTGCTGCTGCTGCTGCTTGTGCTGCTCAGTGACTTTACTTACCCGCTACTGCGAGCTGCCGTCTCTTTCTTTCTCTTCTCCAGTTCTTCTTCTTCTTCTTCTTCCTCCTCTCTTTCCCTTCCCCATTCCCCAATCTCTCTCTCTCCCTCCCCCCAATCCCTCGTTCCCCATTTCTCTCCCTCCCCCTCAATCTCCCTCTTCTCCTCGATTATTGTATCCGATCTTCTCCCTCATCCTCTTCTCCGATCGGGCCACTTTCCCATGTCAGCATAAAAGTGACTGCTGGAATACAGGGAACATAGGGACAGGGACAAAGAAACTTGGACCCTCCTGCTCTCGCATCAACTTCCCATCCGCCGCCTCGTCTACTTAAAAGCGGTGCTCACTAACCGAACCATCCATCCTGCCGTCTCGCAATCTCCCAGCCGCTAGTATCAGCAGAGCCTCCCCCCCCCGGCCCCTTCTTTGTTGTTCTATCGCCCATTCGATCTTTCCTCCTTCATCCCATCGATTCCCGATCGTTAATCTCTATTGCGAGCTATTCTTGCCTATACACGTATACCGCCTTGTTCGTCCTTGATGCAATAAGGAAAGCAACAAGGAAGCAAGAACAAGATCCAGACGAGTGGCTGCCCACCCAATCTACGATCGCACTTACGCGTCCTGTCGCCATCTGTCGTCCTTGAAGTCATTGCTTGCGGGGCCTCTTCCTGGTCCTGCGGGCTTCTACAACCGAAGACATGAGTGGAATTACGAGCGCTTGTTTGTCCTGCTTATCGACGGTGGACCGTTGGTGTCATATCTCGGCATGCCTCGGTCCGATCGGTGGTCGCTCTAGGGATGGGATTTATGAATCCACTTTGGCAGACAATGAACGCGAAGCAGTCTCTGACTTGCTGCAATTCCTCGATGCGGTAAGCCCCGTCCTCTCTCACGCCGTGACCGTATCTCTGCGGCATCACTCACACATGCGCGACAGCAACAACGTCAAGAGATTGATTTTTTCAATGGCGAGCCTCTTCGGGCCTTGAGCACTCTTGTGTATTCCGACAATGTAGAACTTCAGCGAAGTGCAAGTTTGACCTTTGCTGAGGTCACAGAGCGAGGTACGTACGACGCGCATAGGATTGATTACGGCAATGGCTGACGGCTGAGTTACCCGGTCATAGATGTACGCGAAGTCGATCGGGACACTCTCGAGCCTATCCTTTTCTTACTGCAGAGCTCCGACATTGAAGTGCAACGGGCGGCCAGTGCAGCACTTGGAAACTTGGCTGTGAACGGTGGGGCTTTTCCCTTCCTCTGTAATCGCCTTTGCTGATTGGGTCCAGCGGAGAACAAGGTGTCGATCGTCGCGTTGGGAGGTCTGGCTCCCCTAATACGGCAGATGATGTCCCCTAATGTCGAGGTCCAATGTAATGCCGTTGGTTGTATTACGAACCTGGCTACCCACGAGGATAACAAGGCGAAAATTGCCCGCTCCGGCGCATTGGGTCCATTGATCCGGCTGGCAAAATCGAAGGACATGCGAGTACAGCGTAATGCGACTGGCGCGCTGCTGAATATGACGCACTCGGGTCAGACACCTCACTACAACAGCGACAACCCAACCTCGCTAACAGAATGCGCAGATGACAACCGACAACAACTCGTCAACGCAGGGGCCATTCCTGTTCTGGTCCAATTGCTATCCTCCTCCGATGTTGATGTACAATATTACTGCACTACTGCCTTAAGCAATATCGCCGTCGATTCGTCGAACCGCAAACGACTAGCGCAGACCGAGTCTCGATTGGTCCAGTCGCTTGTGCATCTCATGGATTCCTCGACACCAAAGGTCCAATGTCAAGCTGCTCTGGCACTGCGCAATCTGGCTTCCGATGAAAAATACCAGCTTGAGATTGTGCGAGCGAAGGGACTTTCGCCGCTGCTGCGCCTCCTACAATCCTCTTACCTGCCCCTGATCCTCTCCGCCGTCGCATGCATTCGCAACATCTCCATACACCCCCTCAACGAATCTCCCATCATCGACGCGGGATTCCTCAAACCTCTGGTTGATTTGCTCGGCTCGACTGACAACGAGGAGATACAATGTCACGCCATCTCGACCCTGCGGAATTTGGCGGCAAGCTCTGACCGTAACAAGGAGCTCGTTCTTCAGGCCGGAGCGGTTCAAAAGTGCAAGGACCTGGTTCTTCGCGTCCCTCTTAGCGTACAATCCGAGATGACGGCTGCGATCGCTGTGCTGGCCCTCAGCGACGAATTGAAACCGCATCTTCTGAACCTCGGCGTCTTTGATGTTTTGATCCCTCTCACCGAGTCGGAGAGTATTGAAGTGCAAGGAAACAGTGCCGCAGCCCTGGGGAATCTCTCATCCAAAGGTATTTGAGCCGCTAGCCTACGGGCTTGTTAATGCAGAGTTCATGGACTAACGTGTGGTAGTGGGAGACTATTCAATTTTCGTGCGCGACTGGGCGGATCCTAACGGTGGCATTCACGGTTACCTTAGCCGGTTTCTCGCAAGCGGCGACCCGACATTCCAGCACATTGCTATTTGGACTTTGCTACAACTTCTCGAATCTGATGACCAGAGATTGATTGGGTACATTGCCAAATCGGATGACATTGTCCAGATGGTCAAATCAATCTCTGATAAGAACATTGAATCCGACGAAGAAGATGCAGATGAGGGTGAAGGCGAGGTCATTGCGCTGGCACGGCGATGCCTCGAGTTTCTGGGGAGTGGTCACAAGCAGACCCTTGTAGAAGGCTAATCTAATTTCGTCTTTGCGAGCGCTGACGCCGGTTTTCGAAGCCCACCACTTCTGTCCTTTTTCTTACCTCGATAATCATTCGATTCTTCCCCGTGTCTTCTGTCTTACCTACTATACCTTGAGTGTCCCTGTTATGTGGATGTTTTGCTACAATGACCTATATTTGTCACAGATGTTAAGCGAGCATATGATTCGGTGTCACTTATCTATTATTCTATCATGTCAGCGAGCATTAGGTGTGAGTGATGAAACTGATTTGTTTTCGTTGGGAGTGTGACCTACAGTTGCTTCTTGGTCACATACGAGTCATCTGCGACTAACGCTGTATTTACTATGTACCTAAGAGCAGATCTCGAGCCTATCATTTATCTATAGCTGATTTATTTTTTGCTTTATTATTTATCATTAGAGATATTGAAGCGATGATGTCATGTGCGAATACTCGTATCTTTCTGTGTTTGTTCCGTATGTCCATCCAACACTGAACGGGGAAAGAGTTTCTCCCGTCCCGTCCGGAGCTCCGCCAAACTGAAAAAAGAAGTCAAGTTCTGCGGCTGTTCATCATTCCACACCTGCCGGACAACTGACAGCCTCACCTTTTAAACGATACCATTCATTCTTCAGCTGCATCAGTTGCACCAGTCGCCTCTCGATCGGAATGGCGAGCACATTACCAACTTTGGCCATTCCAGGCCAGCGTCTGGCCCCTGTGAGCTCTTACGCCGCAGGACCCGGCACTCATGTGCAAAATGCGAACATCTACGCCTCCATCGCCGGACCCGTTCTCGTAAACCCCGCGAGCTCTAAAACCGCCAAGTCCTCTCTGAGCGTCTCTCGCAGCCCCCTCCGCACAGCTGCTCCTGCTGCCCCTCAGTCCGCACCGAAGTCCACCGCTCCCGGCCCCTCCAAACCTCGGTACAACACTCTCCCGGCCGTTGACTCGATTGTGCTCGCCCGCGTGACGCGCGTGCAGAAGCGACAGGCCACGGTCTCCATCCTCGTCGTGCTCGACGAGTCAGCCAGCAACAAGGCGGGCCAGCCGCCGACCACGACGACGGCCCCCACCGGCGGTGCGTCGGACAACGACAATATCGAAGCGATCCTCTCCTCCGCCGCCAACCCGGAGAACCACAGCAACTCGGACGAGCTCCGGTTCCAGGCGCTGATCCGCAAGGAGGACGTCCGGGCCGTCGAGAAGGACCGCGTGGTCATGGACGAGATGTTCCGCGTGGGGGACATCGTGCGCGGCACCGTGATCTCCCTGGGCGACCAGAGCTTCTATTACCTGACGACGGCGCGCAACGACCTCGGCGTGGTGATGGCGCGCAGCGAGGCGGGCAATATGATGTTCCCTGTCAGCTGGAAGGAGATGCGGGATCCTGTCACGGGCGTGGCGGAGCTGAGGAAGGTCGCGCGGCCGTTTTGAGGCTCTTGCGTGAACCCTTTGCGCAATCTGATGATGATGATTATTATGATAATGATGAATCTGATGGGTAGATGGGTGGATGGTTGGCCTGGGATTGGCAACGGACAGGTGACAAGGGGACGCTCTGCTTAAGTGTCTTGAGCTTTCCGGTTGAAGCAGGTCCTTCTGTCTGTCCGCATTTCAGCTTGTCTTGTCTTGCCCCAGGATTGGACCCATGAATGATTTCGCCTGAAACCAAACCAACCCCTCCTCCCGAGGTTTCGGCTATTGGCTGCAGTACAGCAGTGGGCTGGTCTTAGCTGGAGATGGAATGCCTGGAACGGGGGGATCCCTCTTGTTTCGCGTGAGCCTGGCTTGGGGCTGGTTGTGTGACTTGGATAGGAAACTTTGTTTGAGAAGGGAGCTTCTAGTCTCAGACACAACCACCTTATTCCTGCTGGCATGCGGACTCCGTGTCCGGTCCGGACTTGCAGAACGTGCTGCGGTTTACGCCGTCTCAAGATTGTTACACGACATCGGTACCGTTGCGACTGGTGTGTAAGGGATATCGGATGTTGATACTGACACTCTCGAGCGGCGGCCAGGATGAGCAAGAAGCCACACGACTGTATATAGGGCAGTGCACCTTGCAACAAGCGACTCCCCTCAGGGAAAGTCAACACATGGTGGTTCCGAGGATTCTTGCATTAGGATTGAATCTAGAATAGAGTATATCCGAACCAATCTATGTATTAGCCACTCTTCCTGCTCGCGGAATATGAATACTACTTGTAGATCATCAATTCAATATCCTGATGCCTTGCGGATTCACGCTAAAGTTAATCATGGTTTCAGTAAACAATTCTGCTTCACTGGACTACCAAGTGTAACAGCATCACCTGCCATTTGAATTCTAGAGACCAATGTGCTCATGCTGACCTGCACCTATCACCAGCATATAAGACTTGTCAGGGTAGCAATCTCCCCCTACTATATTCTGAGCCCCCTTGGCCACTAGTCACACTAGAACCAAAGAAATCTACGAACACCCAAATTTGCACCAACCAAGCATCATAATCCGACTACATAACCATTCATAAGCTTAGTCTACTGAAATATCCCAACCAGCAAGAAAACAGGCACCAAACCATCACCGAAACTGTCATTTCTAAAGAAAGTATTTCTACATCCACACACACACACACACACACACACACAAAGAAACCTCCTACTTCTTCAAAGTCTTCTGCTTCTCGGCATCGATCAGCTTGCGGCCCTGTACGACCAAGCCCTTCCGCCGGCGCACGGCGTCCATGTACCGCTTGGCGACGTTCTCGCGGTCCGCCAGCTCGCCCAGGTCCTCGAGCTCCTCCTCGGTGGCGGGCACCCAGAACGGATCCTCGTCGAGGGCCTCGTACCCGGCGAAGATCAGCTGCGGCTGGGCGGCGCCCGACGTGCGCTTGCGGATCTCGTCCGCGAACCCGAAGGACTCGGCCACGGGCAGCAGGGCCAGGATCGTGAAGAACGGCGTCCCCTCCTTCATCGTCTCGGAGAGGATGCGGCCCCGCCGGCGGGTAATGACGCCGTAGACGCGGCCGAGGACTTCGGCTGTCCCGGGGGTCAGTTTTGTGGTTGACGGGTTGTTTTTGAGGGGGAGGGGGGTAAGGTAGGGTTTGAAAGGGAGAGGGGGAGGGTAACATACTCGACGCTTGAATCTCACAACTGTACATTGCAAGCATGATGCGCGGACTCCAGTCCAGGAAGCCCTGGGAGATACTCTCGCGGACGAGGCGGATGGCTTCACCCGTCAGCCGGCCTAGATCCAGGTCTTCGCCGTTGGTGGAGTTTGCGGAGAGTTCTTCCAGGAAGACGGCGACGCCTTGCATGGGCTCCTGGCAGAGGGGTCCTTGGCCTGTCGCGAGCTGGAAGGCGTACGCGATCTTGTCGTTGAAGTCGCGGACGATCAGGGCCTCGCGGCTGTTGGTGGTTTCTGCGTTGACGGTGGGTTGTTGTTTGGGGTCGTCGAGGAGGCTTTTCTTGAACGTTAGTTAAGTGAATTACAAGGGTAAGAGTTGGTGGGTGGGAGAACAGCGTGCAGCTGCTGGCTGGACTTACAATTTCTCGCAGGTGTTCACGGTTGTAGCATCCACCAGTATGTTAGGGCCGACTCGTCGGGGCCCAAAGGCTGTGATCCGATCGACCACGTTCTTCCACAGCTCTTTGTCCTCTTTGACCTCCTCGTCGAAGATCTTGTTGAGTTCGGCGCGGAATTCCTGCAGCGACAGCAGAGTCGCCTCGCGGGCTTCCTCGGTGGTGGCTTCGCTGGCTTCCACGGGCTGGGTGCTCTCCGCCGTACCTTCGGTGTCGGTACCGCCCGATTTGTTCTCCGCAGCGGTTCGTTTCTGGGTTTGCAGTCGCTTGATGGTCCCTACGTGCTTGGAAAAGAACTCCGTGACAGCCGAAGGCAGGGGCACTACACGCAGTCGCATGGTCAGTTGCTTCGAGGGCGACACGGCCAGGATGCCACCGCGGCCGAGCTCGGGGTTCTTGGCTGCGGCCATCTCCGGGGCGCTGATGATCGTCTCGCGGTAGGGCACGATGGTCTGACCGGTTTGAATGTCACACTTGGCGAAACGCTCGCGCAGATCCTTCAAGCAACGCTCCAAGTGCAGTTCACCAGCTGTCAGAATCACATGCTCACCACTGTCGAGGACCTCGTATTGCGCGCAAGGGTCACTTTGCTCGAGGAGTCGCAGGCCGGTGACCATTTTGCTCAAGTCGGCCGGGTTCACAGGCTCCAGGGCAACGCGGACGATCGGAGGAGTGTTCAACGAAACACCCGCCAGGTTGATGCTGCCCTCGAGTTGCGAGCAGAGCGTTCCCGTCTTCAGAACGTGGCCAGCAAGACCCCCTATACCGAAGACAACACCCGCAGGCACGGACTGGAGGGGCTCCAGACTCCGGCCCATCAGCAGATACAGATCGGTGACTGTAACTTTCTGGGGTTCGGGGCTGGCATGCGGGTTTTCCGGGTTGAATTTGGGAGCGATCACATACACGGAGTCTCCCACGGAGAGCGTACCCGAGTAGAGACGTGCGAATCCGATCAAATGCTCGGGGTCCTCTTTCTCCTCGGGCTCAGCTGGCGCATCGTCAAGGTAGGTCCGCTCGAGGGCCGACGTCACGCGAGAGAAATCGTCTTGCTGCTGACCGCCAGCTTCCGCCTGCATTTTGGCAATCTCCTCTCTCTTCTTGCGGGCAATCTCCCGCGCTTCATCCGCGGACATGGTGGTACCAGAGCGCTTCTTGCTCGAGGAGAGCTCACTCTCCGGGATGGCGACCATCTTACTAACATAGGCCACAACTGGCTCGTTCGGCTCCGTCTTGAAGCTGATCATCGCATCCTTCACCTTCTGGTCGATGAAGTCTGCTCCCGGGGAGTCTGCGATCAAGGCCGGGAGACGGGTAGCTTGAGCTGCGGGCGGACTGGGGAGATATTCAATGACAGAGACTAGGACTGCGGTCGAAAGAGGTAGCCACATCGAGAACAATGTGGTCATGATATTCTTAGGGTCGCGGGAGCGTAGGATGTAAGGAGGGATGTTAATGTTCAGAGACTTGGTGATCTTCTCCAACAAGGCCGGGTCGCTGTTGACGGTCAGTAAACGAACAATGGGCCGTGTGCAGGTTACATCTCTTACCCCCGCCCTGAACCTCCGCCAGTCGTCGCTTCGTATGCTGCCCAGATACTGTCCAGCACAAGTTGCACGAACATCGGCTTGAGAGCGCGGCCCTTCAGATGCTTCTGCCCAAGAACTCGCTTGGTCTTGGGGTCCAGATAGTAGTCTCCCCAGAGGACCTTCTCTAGAATCTCACGCTTGATGCCGAGCTTCTTCTCGTAGATCACAGCAAACTGTCGAACTGTGAAGGCCCAGCCATCGACTGCACTGCAGAAGATGACGTTGTTCTTCTCTGGCGCAAAGTACAGATCCTCGTCGTCCTTCTCCTCATACTCAGCCGTTTGCTCGTCGTCGTGATCTTGCTTCTTGTTGAGGCGCTCTTCCATGCGCTCCCGCCACTGCAGGTCCTCTTCCATGCGCTCACCCTGGTAGAAACTTCCGATAACCGCATTGACCTGCTCCAGAAGCTTACTCATGTGCAAGTAGGCCTCGCTAGGGCTCATCTTCAACTCCGTCACCAGTCGGTCGATCTTGTTGATCACCAGAATGGGCTTCAATTGCTCCACCCAGGCCTGACGCAGCACGGTGACCGTCTGACTGCAGACGCCTTCGACGGCATCGACCAGAACGACGGCACCGTCACACAGGCGCGAGGCAGTCGACACTTCGCTGCTGAAGTCAATGTGTCCCGGAGAATCGATCAGGTTGATCAGATACTCCTTGGGCTCGGGGGCGGCGTCGGGCGCGGGACGGCGCATCATGGAGAAGAACAGAGAGATGGCCGACGACTCCATGGTGATACCCCGGAGCTGCTCATCTGGACGGGAGTCCAGGTAGCGGATCTTGCCCGCCAACTTGGGAGAGATGATACCATTGGTGGCAATCAGACTATCCGTCAAGGATGTTTTACCATGATCCTGGACAATATTAACTTGTAAGTCTCGAGGTCTCTTGCGGCCACAGGATCAGATTTTTTCTTTCAGGTTGCTACATACAACGTGAGCGAGAATGCAGATCTGAATGTGAATGTTAGCGTTGTTCTGGCTTTGTTGCGGCAAAGAAACATGAGCGCGCAAGGAAGTCCGACGTCATGTTATGCGAAGTGGGATGATGGAGGGGTAAACTGAGATTGAACGTACATTCCGGATATCATTGGGCTTCCGTTGGAGACGAACGAGGTCATCTACATTGACAACAGGCATCTTGAAGACGGATTGGTGCTGTCACACAGCTCCCACGGTTTTCAAGAGTGAGGTTCGATTGAATGAACGCACGGCTGGGTTGGTTTTTTTGGTTCCGCCGTTCGCTGCGGAATTCGAGGGGGAAAAATTATCTCGGGATTTTTGGTCCTGTGTCAGATTCCTGACTCTCTTTTCCACCCCGCAAACTGGAGTCAGATATATTAAAACAAACTGATCGATAAGATTTCGCTTGGGATCTTCTTAAATAGAAGGATACATAGGATGTTGGTGGATTCCACGCACTTCCTGATTATTAATTGCTTCGGAGTTGGCAGTAACTACAACTACGGGCCCGCCACTGCACTTGTTAACTATGCCAGCAAGGTGTGGCTATGACGGTTACGATTCATACAGCGTAATAAAGCATTTGATCTGAGATCTAGGGTATTATGGATTGGGCTATGTTCATGAGTCAAAATTTATCATCATGAATCATCGTCAAACGAAAGCTTGATCTTCTTCTTCTGTTTCGCTTTTCGCACGCCCGACGAGTCTTTCTTCTTGGTGTCTTCGATCTCTGCGGCTGGGGCGTCTTCGCCGATGACCTTGGCTTGTTTCCTTTTTCGTGGCCCGCCAATCTCGGCGATGTTCTGCTTGGAGGACGATGTCTCCGCCCCAGTGTCTGATTTACTACCCTCCCCGGGCTGGCCTGCGGACTTGTTCTCGTCCTTAAGGTCCTTGTCGGTTTGATCATCAGCCCCAGCGGGGTTGTCTCCTCGCACAAGAGCTTCATATTCCTCTTTGGAGATGATGTCGTTGCTTTCTTCGTCCACATAGGTAGGCCCATCGTCGTCGTGTTCCTCGCGCGGCTTCCGTGGCCGGGCAACGGGTCTCTCAAGGCGACCCGAATTGTCTCCGTAATGATTCCTAAGTCTCTGTAGAAAAGCCGGCTGCTTGGCCTCTGCGACATGTTACTTTGAGTCCTGGATGCTCATGCGGTCGAACGTACCGTACGCGAGGTCTTTTGACTTGAAGGACATAATTGTGACCAGTCAGAAATATAGTCTGTTAGCTATGCACGAGTGAGTGTAGTGAGTCTATCCACAGGTCTGTATATGATCTTTAGAACTGTTATCGTAGCAGTTCAGGACGCGGCCGCAATGGCGCTTCACAGCGAAGGTGTGGGGAACTTCTTTAAGTCCTAGTGTCGCGTCCACTGCTGTGACGTAGAAAGTCACGCTATCACTCCCTCTTCTCGTAAAATTCGACCTCAACGCTGTGTACTTTCTCGTTCTTTGGGGAAAAAATTGTGATAGAAGTTCAGGTTCAAGCTCCAACAGTCGAAAAGAAGGAGCTCGAGTGGTAACCGCCAAGCAATCGTCAGCGATCAGGCTTGCGGTGCGGCTAATCCAGATCGGGCGAGGTCGAAAAGTCCAAAGGAGCCCGCAAGCTGCACCTTCAACCAACAACCTCCCCATCAACCATCACATTCACATAAACATGCTGTGCGCAAGTAAGTCTCTGGATCTTACGCGTCTGTGTAGCTTTGGTGCTAACGAAAAATTGCCAATAGTCTCAGGAGAGGCACCACAAGTGCCCGTCGTCTCGCCCAAGAGCGGTACGTTGCAACCTCTCGCGTGCGCATCAATGCGACCTACTCGTATCTGACGTCTCAGCAGGCAGTGTGTTCGAAAAGCGACTCATCGAGGCGTACATTGCGGAGAACGGCAAGGATCCCGTCAATGGGGAGGAGCTTGCCGCAGACGAACTCATCGAAGTCAAGTCCCAGCGCGTTGTCCGGCCTAGACCTCCCACCCTCACCTCGATCCCCTCATTGCTCAGCGTCTTCCAGGAAGAGTGGGATGCCCTGGCTCTTGAGACCTACACGCTACGACAAACTCTGGCACAGACCCGGCAGGAATTGAGCGCGGCGCTCTACCAGCACGATGCCGCCGTTCGGGTGATTGCTCGGTTGACGAAAGAAAGGGACGAAGCCCGCGATGCACTATCTAAGGTTACTGTCAATGCCAAGGGCGCTGGCGAGGCTATGCAGGTGGATTCGACCGGTCTGCCCGAAGCAGTCCTCGCTCGCGTGGAAAGTACACAGGCTGCGTAAGTCTTCCGTGCCATGACCAACTGGCAGAAGCCCGCTGCTGACTCACTTGCAAACAGGCTCTCCAAGACCCGTCGCAAGCGTCCCATCCCCGAGGGCTGGGCTACGAGCGAAGCGATCTCCGCCTTCAAGCCTACCCAAACCTCCGAGACTCTCCAGCCCGGCGCAAAGACGCTGTCTGTCAACTCGTCCGGGGACTTGGCTATCGTCGGCGGCGCAGACGGTACCGCCAGTGTGTACTCCGTGTCTCAGAAACAGGTTGTTCAAGCCTTGCCAGCGAGTGGACCCATCACTAGTGCTGCGTGGGCTGGTGAGAAGGCTATCATTGCTTCGTCTACGGGCTCTGTTAAGGTTTTTGAGAATGGAACTGAGATTGCGAACTTCAACTCTCACGCTGGAGCCGCAACGGCTGTGGCTGTACATGCCACTGGCGACATCGTCGCTTCTGTTGGTGCCGACAAGAGCTACGTGCTGTATGACTTGACGACGAACTCCGTTATCACCCAGATCTTTAGCGATGCTTGTAAGCGGCCCTTTGGAAATCCCTTACTGTGCGGAATCCGACTAACGCTTGATGCTTGATCTAGCCCTCCTTTCCATTCACTTTCACCCTGATGGCCACCTCCTTGCTGCTGGTGGTCAGGATGGCCAAATCAAGATTTTCGATGTCAAGACCGGTGCTGCCGCCGCGAGCTTTGCCATGTCCGCCCCTGTCAAGGGTCTCTTCTTTTCCGAAAATGGTACTTTCTTGGCTGCCGTGGCTGAGAGCTCCACCACTGTGTCTATCTGGGATCTTCGCAACGGTCAAGAGATCAAGGTGATCGAGACAGGCAGCCAGGTTGATTCCATCAACTGGGACTACACCGGACAATTCCTGCTCACGGCCGGACCCAGCGGGTTGACAGTGAACCAGTACTCCAAGGCGGCCAAATCGTGGTCGGAGTCCCTGCGGAGCGCCGTACCCGCGGTGGCAGCGGTCTGGGGCTCTGCTGCTCAGAGCATTGTGGCGCTGAACACTGAGGGAGGTGTGACGGAGCTTACCGCACAGTAATTCTGTTTGATACCTGGTGAAATTGGATCGAAAATCAACAATGATTATCCTGTAATTCTAGCTGGCTGTGGTTTCATTTGATTATTTGTGAATGGCGTCTCTACTTGGATTCTCTTTTTCTTTCGTGTTTTGTTTATTTTCATCCCACTGAGCCAGACCATGAACCGGATCATTGAATTCCAACCCAACGAAACAGGATAAACAGAAAGAGAGAAGTGTTGATGGTGTCGATGGTGTTGATTTGTGCCTGATTACGTATAGAAACAAAACCGAGTTGTCACCCGTATTTGGCCAGTTGTTGGTGGAGCGGGCAAAATCCCGGCTGAAAGAGGTCATCGGCAGCGTCACCGGTTACATACAGTAAGTAAATGTACTGTACATAACTTAACTAACTATGCAACCCTTGATTAATCTGATTAATCACCACCACGGTTCAACCACTTGTTGGCTGCATGGAGGGAAAGAAACCCAAGGGAGCCGGTATGCCGGGACCCAGCCAAAATAAGAGGATTACCATTGAAATGAACCTCTTAACCTCTCTCCGTCCTTCACCTCCACTGCCTATTAAGCAACATTATGGCCTCCACCGTCTACCGCCGGCAATGAAGCCTAAACTCCGCCTCGGCCTTTCTCTGATAACAACCTCCCTCTCTTCTCTCTCCATTTCTCTCCCCTCTCTCCTCTCTTCCTCTCTCCCCTTTCCCTCAGTTGGGGCTTCATCTGCCGTTTACATTTTACTCGGATGCCCAGCATGAGTGACGATTCAGGTGTTCAATTTGTGACTTCTAGGCCAAGGAAGGTTGGTAGCTTCCTTCTCTCCCCGCTAGTCCGCTCATTTTGCCGCATGCCCTCAATCCTTCCCCTCAGGCGGGGTACACCCATTGTCTAATCGTCGATGACTTTAAACTGACCTTCTATGCAGCGACCGCATCATGAAATAGCAAGAGCTACACCTCCACAATTTCCCGGCGGCGAATCTTCATCATCCAGAACGCTTCCTCCGCCCTCGCCACCACGACGGCGGTATCCCGGAGATGGCTTTGACTTCCGTCGGCCCATTACATCGGCGACCCCCAACGCAGAAGATGTCATCGACTTAACCCTGGACTCAGATCCTCCCGAGCCCAACGCAATTCAAGATGTTCGGAATAACCACCAAGATCACTCTACACAAACCTTACAATCGAGGGTCCCGGAAGTGGTAGATCTGGAAGAAGATTATGAAGACTTAACTCAAGATGAACCTCCCAGCAGCCCGGAGGTACAGTTTATTGGTGCTACCGCTCGGCCGTCACGACCTCCTCCATCCTCGACGATTCCAGAATGGGCACCGCAGTTATTAAGAATCTTCAACATGTCGCGGAGCAGGCTTCCCGCACGACATCGAGTCTTGCGGCCACAAGATGTGGACGTATCATATATCGGAGAGCATCCAGCGGGCGCTATTGACCTGACGTTTAATTTCGACATGAGAAGATCTGACATGAGAAGACCTGAAAGACCCCCAGCGAACGCTTACAAGCCTCCGAGCCCGCCACCGGATGGATTCACAAGGACGCTTGAAGAGGATGACGTTGTGGTTTGCCCCAACTGTGACGGGGAGCTGGGCGTTGGCGACGAGATTAGGCAGCAAATATGGGTAGCAAAGCAATGTGGACATGTACGCACCCTTCCTCTTTCCCTTAGACCATTGCAAGGCCACTGCTAACATGCACAGGTATATTGTGGCCGTTGTGCCCATCACCGCTCCAAGGCCAAGTCAAAAAAGTCGTCCGCCACGAAGCCATTTTCTGTGTGTCAGGTGCCGGAGTGTGGCAAACCGGTCAGCTCACACAAAGCCATGCTCCAAATCTACCTTTAACCCATCGTCCATTTTTCTGCATTTTCAGGATCTGGGAGTTATGGGAACAGGTTTGCAGTTGGTTGCATGTTGCTGGCGTTAAACTGCGGGGCTTCTTTCTCATTCTATACGACCACGACGCATCAGGATACCCCATTTTCTTTTCATTTTTTAAAGCTCATTCCCCCCTTTCGGTTTGGTTGAGGGGATACACCATATTTCTTGTCGATATCGGTCTTAAGCATTCTGGTCTGGGTACGATATGCATTGGCCTTGCATATACATGTGGATAATAATATTGTTCCAACATACTTAGATGACGCTTCTCCGACATAGCACATACCCGTAGAACAATTCATAAAAGCATTTTGTACATATGATACATATCCGATTCCAAGACAAAACCACGTTGGGGGTTCCCCCCCGCGGGAGAGGGAATGCAGACGCATGAAAAGAGCTAGCCCATAATGAATAAACCGAAGAAAAGAGCTTCCAAATTGTAACACCACTGCAGTAACCATATACCCACTTTCCACTTACACCGACTTGAAGCCGCCGTGGAACGGGTCCCAGATACCTCTAACACTCTCGTTAAGACTCGTAATAGGCTTCTTGGTGCGCTTCGTCTTCTCGCCGCTGGCCGCCTTCAGCAGATTCGCCTTGTTGAAGATCTGCTCAGGCTCGAGGTTGCGCACACAGATCGCCTTCTCGCGGCCGTTGATGTAGTGTCCCTTGATGACGGGGTGCTTGTGTGGCCGGGGCGATACTCGGATCTCGATCTGGGGGTTGGCTTTGGCGAAAGAGGGGAGGTGGTGCTTGAGGAAGGAACTGTGTAGGGGGTTGCAACCGTCAGCTCATGCCTCCGAATTATGTTTCTCAAGCCATTCGAGACTAAGTACGTGGGGAGAGACATACACCATGCCGCGAGAGCTACCAGCCCAGTCACAGTAGTGGAAGTCCAACTGCTTGCATTGTAGGATAAAGGCTCCGACACCATTCTGAACAAGCGCGTTAGTCCGATTCTTGAGGATACATCAAGGGTCCCAAAGCACGAGCATACTCTGGCGGTCGTCACCGTCCGAATCCCTTGGACAGGCATGGCGCTGTATATGTCTCTGTTGTCTTGTTTTGCCGGTCGAAATGACTTCCCACACTTCTATCTCCAGACACTCTGGTCGGGGACTTTTCAGCGGCGCGGCGCACCCGAGAATCTCCGCCCATCATTGGCCAGGGCGGTAAATTCGGCTACCGCGACTAGGCGGTTCTCAACCGGTGCCAAGACCACTCAACCTGGTACTAGCGGGAGCCCGTGGAAAGACGGGACGACAACGACGACGACGCGAAACTCGCATCCAACACTACTTCACCGAGCTTCGACACTTTACCTCATCTCATCTCACCTCACCCACAGAAGGTCGAGATTCAAAGAAGAGGGAAACTCGATTTGAATACTTCAACCACAGCTGACATAATCCCAGCCATTTGGATGCTTTCCGCCAGACAATAATAGACTAGAGAGTTTTCGAGTACTCTCCCGCATCCGAAACCTCTTGTGACCTGACAAGGGCGCAACATGACCGACAAGCTCCCTCCTCCGCTTCTGGCGCTGTTCCAGCCTCGCCCGCCCCTCCGCTATGTCACGCCTATCAATCGGGCCCCCGAAGACTGCAAGAAGAGTTCCATCGGCGGGATTGCGCAATTCCTGCCCGATCTAAAGCAGTATGAAGAGGAGGTCCCCTACAATGCCACAGAGAGCTGGATTCAGCGCAAGTTGCGACAGAAGGTGGAGAAGAAGGAGAACATGGAGAAGCAAGTCACAGAAGGGCTCGAAGGATGTATGCATCTCTTTCCAAATCGTTTCTACCTCTTGGTGTTTTGTGAACCCTGGTTTTGCTGATATCCTTTTGCGCGCCCCAGATGATCCGTCGAATGACCAACAAGCTCGCGGAGACCCGTTCAGGACCCTTTTCGTTGCCAGACTGAGCTACGATGTCAAGGAGTCGGACTTGGAGCGGGAGTTCGGCCGCTTCGGCCCGATTGAGAGAGTATGGTCACCAGAGATCCCCGGTCGCGGTTTATGGGATTAGCCAGACTGACCATCACCAGATTCGCATCGTCAAGGACGCTGTAACACCAAAGGGTTCGAAGAAAGCGCATAGAGGATATGCTTTCATCGTGTATGAGCGCGAAAAGGACATGAAAGGTATTGCTACAGATCTAGTCGCCGATTACCCCCGGATGACTACTCCCGGTATAATGATCTCCCGTGCTACTTGATTGCTAACCTAGTGTTTTTTTCTTGACGAATTTTCAGCGGCCTACAAAGAGACAGATGGTATTCGCATCAAGGATCGCCGGGTTCTGGTAGATGTTGAGCGTGGTCGGACTGTCAAGGGCTGGAAACCCCGTCGCTTTGGCGGTGGTCTTGGAGGACGAGGTTACACCAAGGCTCTGCCTTCCCGGCCCATTGGACCTGGATCTTTCAACGCCCCTTCAGGCCCCGGTGGCTTTGGAGGTGGTTTCCGAGGTGGGTTTGGCGGTGGCAGAGGCGGCCGGGGAGGCTTCCGTAACGATCGTGGCTTCGGTCCTCGCGGTGGTGTCGGATACCAAGGAGGCCGTAATGGCTTCGGCGGACAAGCTCCCCCCAATGCTCCCTCGGGTCCCGGAGGTGGACGCAGTGGTGGCTTCGGTGGCCCCGGTGGGCCCGGTGGCCCCGGTGGCCCCGGTGGAGGTGGCAGGTTTGGTGGCCGTGAAGACCGGGGAGGCACTGGTAGCAACCGTGAACCTATCAGACCCCGGGACAGCTTCGGTGATCGCGACCGCCGAGACCGGGACCGTGACCGTGAGGGTGGTGACCGCTACAGAGACCGTGATCGGGACAGTCATCGCGGTAGCTACCGCGACCGCGACCGTGACCGCGAGCGCGAGCGCGATAGATATGGAAGCCGTGGCGACGACTACGGGCGCAAGAGACACCACGAGGACGACTCGTACGACGACCCCCGCGCCAAGAGAAGGTACTGAAATGCTTTGACGGCGGGCTTCTTCATTTTAGTATCCAATGACCGTTTGGTGGTGGGTATTCCTGATTGCTCTCCTTTCTCGTCCTCCCGCGTCGACAAGGGTAAGGCCAGCCACTAGCGTCTTAGATCATAAGAGCTTGGGCGTCAATGAGCCAGTCAGACAACCAACTAGGCAGTTTCATACGAGAGTCGAACTTCACAACATCTTTCCATAACAACTGTCAGGAGGTATCCACGGCAGCACCAGCAGACGTCTCATTCATGTCAGGTCGATCGATGTCTACTCCCGATCAGACGCTTCGCAAATTCCTATTCATGCTCGTCATACTCAGCTCCCTTCTCTTTCTCTCGTGTCTTCATTAACATTCATGTCCTTTGTGCTTTATGTTGTTCTTGGGCTTTACTACGGCCGTTGCTCTCTCATTGTGGGGTAAGTATGTACGTTAGATATTCAACATTTTCTTCAGGCGGAATCGTGGTTGGGTCGGGACTTGGGACGTTCAGGTAAGAAGATCAGGTAGGGTTCTCCATCAGCAATGACCGATACCAGGGATCTTCACACAAAGGTAAAATTAAGGTAATGATTCGTTACTCGCCTCAGGGTATGGTGGATAGTAGCAATAGGTTTTCGCTATCAAAGTTGTTTATTGTAGTATTCTTGTGTGTAGGTCCGGGGAGCTCTAGTGGGAGGGTTTTAAAAGGCCTAGACCCTAGGATCAGGCTGGCCAGAATAATTTACTTCCTCATTTGGCTTAACTTCGGCCCGTTGGAATTGAAGGCACTGCGCAGTGTGTCTGTCATCCTCGTGCGCCGGCACCAAACCAACCTTGACCGCTCTAATCCGATACTCCATGATGCACTTAATTTCTATTCTTCAGTCTCTATACACGGGCGGGGAGGGGTAATTGAATAAGTATCATAAATAAAGGAATGAAACTTTTCTAATTGAGAAAAACAGAAACAAAAAAAAAAAAAGGTGTATATGAAAGAGACCCGCCCCGCAGACCTTTGGAAAAGAAAAACATGATAAATCTTAGAGTTGTTCATTGCTTTTTTGTGTCTGGTGTTGTCGTCACAAGATTTCTTTTTTTCTTTACTCCTCCATGCCATCCCCATCCTTCTCCAACAGCTCGACCTCATTCGTACTCCGGGTCCAGTGCGCCTTCAAGGCGACCCGGAACTCCGACGAGACGACGCCGAACATCTTGAGCAGCGTCGTCTGCCGTGAGTCCAGCACCTCGCCGGCCCGACACACGGGGTAGCCCTCCTGGTCGTCGGTCAGCTCCAGCATGACCTTGCCCTTGACGAGGCGGGTGGGCACGCCCAGCTTGCGGAGCTCGGGCTCAATCGTGTGGCTGACGGGCTCGTCCTCCGAGGCGGGGATCTCCCCGGCCCGCGAGTACACCAGTCCGTTGGGGATGGTGAAGGCGCGCGTGCTGACAGTGCCCGCGCGGGCGTAGTCCAGGGGGCGGAAGCCGTCGAAGTAGTCCGTTACCGAGGCTGGGTCGCGCGAGGTGAAGAGGAGGCCGACGGCGCCCGTCAGCGTCGGCGCGAGCTTGTGCAGGTTCTCCGCGGCTTCGTTCTCGGGCGTGTGGCCCAGCGCGACGGCCATGACTTTGGTTTTGCCGAAGAAGAGTCTGTCCCAACGGGTGTTAGTGGAGGGAGAGTTTGTGAGGGGGGAGGGAGTATGTAGTTGTAAAAGACTGGGTTGAGCTGCATGGAACTGGACTTACCGGCTATCAGCGAATTCCGTACGCACATCCTTCAGATATGTGTTGCGCATGTTATCCACCCCAAACACAAACAGATGGTCGTATTTCTCCACGCATTCTCGGATGTTGGCGTATAGGCGTCTGGTTTGTTCCTTGTGCGACTTCTTTGCGGTCTTGGACTCGTGCACGACTCTGGCACGCTTGGAACGGGGCATTGTGTCGGTGTGGGTTGAAAGAAATCAGATAGATGGATTGGTCGTAGCTTGGAGGCGAGTGTTTCGTTTCCCCTGGATATGATGCAGAATGGAGGGCAGGGAAAAGCAGAAATTAAATATGAACTCGGGTTTCTGGAAGTGAAGTGGATCCTCCCATCCAGTGATTTTTTTCTTGTCTTTTGACTTTTGATAACAGCCGGATTATCGTTGACGCGGGGTCTTATCCGCCCCGACTCCCCGCTAGTCCGCTTGGAGAAACGAGCTGATGGGGAAGTCTTTCTCCTCGTTCGGTTCGTCATCGTTCGATCGTCTTGTTACACTCCCTTCTGCGCTTTGATTTGGAACGAGGGCCCTTGAGCATACGAATCAGCATGTCTTAAGGTGTATATACTGAGCGAATGATTTGCTGGCATACGTCCAATTGAGCCTCTTTGTCTCTTATCCCCGACAATGCTCGACTTCATGGATTACATCCAACTTGCGTTCGCCGAGGCGACCAACTGGAACCGCGACAATTCATATTCGTCGCTGACAGCGACTGCGCAGTGTGTGTCCCGCCTTATAACCCCTTACAAGTCATTATGCTGATGCTTATCGCCCAGCGCTCCTTGACTTTTCCACTCCGGAACGTCTCCGCGTCCATCTCTCCTCCCTGTCCACGCCACACTTCGCGACGAGCTACACTCTCGGCACCGTTGGCCTGATCGATGGTTCGGTATCCTACCTCTTCAGCACGGTGCCCCTAAACCACGCCGCCAGCCGCAGCTCCTTGATCCCCCTCCGCAAGCTCTCCCCCGGCTACAGACAAGTACAGGCCCCCGTCGCCCTAATCCAGAACTTCCGCGTCGACTCGATCCTCGACGACCTCAACCACCTCCCGGGTAGCAACGACAGCGACAACAACAGCACCACCACCCTCAGAAACCATGGCCGCTCCCAAAAAGCCACCCTATTCCACGCCACCCTCCACCTCCCCCCACCGACCACCCTAAACGCCCTCTTCCTCCGCCGCATCTCCCCCACCATGCAGCTCTCTCTAGCCGTCTGCTCCACGCGGGGGCCCCCGTTATCCAAATCCGCCCCGCAGGCCTCCCTCCTCACACAACTCTCGCACAACACCGGCAAATACAGCAACGAGTACCTCTTCAGCACGGACAACGCCCTGTTCGGCTGGCGCGGCCTCTGGAACTTCGGCCCGGATCCCCGCGCCACGTCCACCGGCACCACCACCGCATCAACCCAGCCATTGTCCCTTCTCTCCGCCGGTGCGGAAGCTTACTACTCTCCCGTCTCCTCGCTGATCGGCATGTCTACGGGATTACGGTTCAGTACCCTCCCCGCTGCAACGGATGTGCCTTCTTCTTCTTCGTCCAACAGCAGCGCGAGCAGCAACAGCAACACCAGCAACAACCCCATCTCCACCTTCCCGTACACGCTCACGCTAACCCTCACCCCACTCACCGGCTCCCTGTCGACGACTTACTCCCTGCGCGCCTCGCCCAACCTGGCCTTCAGCTCGCGCTTCGGCTTCAACGTCTACAGCTGGGAGAGCGAGATGGTCGCCGGCATGGAACTGTGGCGGAAGAGCCGGCGCGCGGCGCCCGCGGATGATCACAATGATGACGATGGGCTCGAATGGGCGAGACGGAAGATGCGCGGCGAGAGACACCCCCCATTGCCTTCTCCTCCTCCTCCCGTCCCCAAAAGGGATCCCCTAGGACAATACCACACTGTCAAAAAGACCACCGGAGAAGAAGACGCGAATGAATCGGTCCTCAAAATCCGCGTGGATCAGTCGTGGAATGTCCGGTTGCTGTGGGAGGGCCGCGTCAAGGAGCTATTGGTTAGTGCCGGTGTGGGGTTGGGGCCGAGCTCGTTTGCCTCGTCGCTCTCGTCGCTCTCGTCGTTGAGTGCGGCGGGAGCGCAGAGTTCCGGTGGTGGTAGTGCCGGGGTCGGGAAGTCTTATTGGCATGGGTTCGGGATTTCGGTCTTGTACTCTTCTTGAGAGTTTTGGCTATATGAGAGGCTGTGTATATACTAAATTACTGGATTTTACGAAGCGAAGAAGTTATTGGACTGGGTCATTGATGACTAGAAAATATAATTGTTTGTGGTATTTCGGATGGACATAGTCCTCATCGGTATATGTACTTTCGTATAGTAAAGGCGGGAGGGGAGGTGGTGCCCCGCCTTGCATGGAGGAGATGCTTTTTTCACATTAGCCCCTACCAGCAGGGCCAGCATGTCGGATTAGGGGATTGACGTTGCTGGCACATTGATCGGGTATCATATCACGTTATCAGACGAGAGTCGCAAGTGCTTACAGACGAGCGTTGATAATGTCGACGACTGGTGGATGTTAGTTTGGAGACCATGAATATACTCAACGGGAGGAAGCAACGTACAGGCAGGCTTCAAGCTGGCACCGCCAACGAGGAAACCATCGACATCGGCCTCCTTGGCCAGCTCGCGGCAGTTCTTCTCGCTGACGGAGCCACCGTAGATGATTCTGGTGCTCTCGGCAGCGTCGGCGGAGATGGCCTCGGAGAGCCACTTGCGGATGGCAGCGTGGACCTCCTGGGCCTGCTCGGTGGTGGCGACCTTGCCGGTACCGATGGCCCTGTAGGAGATGTCAGCATTCTGAAACTCGACGCTGGGTTTTGGGTTTTTGGGATAAGATGCAACGTACCAGACGGGCTCGTAGGCAATGACAACCTTGGACCACTGCTCCTTGGAGAGCTCCTTGGCGACGGCGTTGAGCTGTCTGGTGACAACATCGATGGTCTTGTTGGCCTCACGCTCCTGTAAATCCCCAACATGTCAGCATACCACCATCGAGGTCAAATACTAGCTCAATGGGGAGCTAAGCTACAAAGTGGGGTGGGGTAGTGGTGCCACTGCTACCCAAAGGGATCCACACAACATACCTCAAGAGTCTCACCGATGCAGAAGATGACGCTGATGCCACCGTCAATGGCGGCCTTGACCTTGCGGGCAATGAACTAGCAGACGAAGAGATTAGCCCAGGCCATTGGGGATTGACCTATGAGGTGGGGGGGATGGCAATTGGGGCACTTAAAACATACCTCGTCGCTCTCCTTCAGGATGACACGGCGCTCGCTGTGGCCGATGATGGTCCAGTTGATCTTGGCATCCTTGAGCTGCTCGACACTGATCTCACCGGTGAAAGCACCGTTGGGCTTGTCGAAGACGTTCTGGGAGGCAACGCCGATCTTGTTGGAGGCGGCCTCGCGGGCAGTGAGCAGGTAGAGAGAGGGAGGGGAGATGACCACCTCGGCGGACTCGTCGAGCTTGGCGTCGTTGAGGTTCTTGATGATGGAGGTAATGCTCTCGGCAGTACCGTTCCTTGGTTGGTGATGAGTGTTAGTTTAGTGTTCTGCAGCCAGATCGTTTGTTTGTTTTCCTTTCTGCTGCTGCTGCTGCTGCAAGCTGAGCAAGGATTGGGCAAGGTCATACATCTTAAAGTTACCACCGACGAAGAATTGGCGAGGCATCTTGAAGGGTTGGTTATGGGAGTGGAAGAGATGAGAAGAGAGACGGAAGAGGGGTATACTGGGAGGGTGGATTGGCAGTAGGGAGTATGGAGGAGAGAAGAAGAAGAAGAAGAAGAAGAAAAGAAGAAGAGAAGGAGAAGAGAAGAGGAAGACGAGAAGAAATGAATGACGACGAGGAAGACGAGAGAAACACGGAGGGGGGAGAGCGAAGCACGGCGGGGCTCGGGCCGGTGTGAGCGAAAGGGAAGGGTTGGGTTTGAGTGGGAGGGTCGATGGCGGGGCTTATCGATAAGTCGCTTTCTTACTTCCTCTGAGCTGGCAACCTCCCCTCCGTCTTCTGCATCCATTCTTCTACTCAGTTCTTCCCTGCTGCGTTTCGCCCTACTGCAATTGGGTAACAATCCGCGTGACCTGCAAAGTCTGTCTGCTATTTCTCCTCAATTCATGTGCTTCAATCGAGTCCAGTTGTATCCATCAAGCTAAATTGGTGTTGAAACTAAACACACACCCGCTACAATGACGTTATAGCATACCCACATCCCCCCTTCACCCGAGGAAACGCCCGAAAATTAAACGGAGAACTTAACCGGACAAAGCAAACTCCCGATCCACCCCAACAATTAAACTGAATGGCTGCATGGGACTCAGCGAAGATCGTCCAACGGACGATATCGTCGGGGATAAAATGACCCTGAGTCACGGAGTGACATGCGTCGGGGCAGGTAACCTGCACTGTCCCACTCCTCCTCCAGGACCCGCGCTTTGAGGTCTAATAATCTCTCACGATGCTCCAGTCGCGCCTCCCGATCGTCCAACATCCGGGTTCGAATATCGTTTCGCATCCGTCCGCCATCATAGCGGCTAATTCTCTCCTCGACCAGTTGCTTCATGTCCAACCCTTCGGGAGGAGCAGGCGCCTGGATAACCTTGGGCCGTTCTCGAGCCGGCCGTGTAGCTTCTCGGCTCAGAATGACCTTAGGGTCGTTGTGATTACTCTTGGCAGGAACGACATCAATGGAGCCAGCAGGGTAACCACTGCGACCTGTCCCCTGATTTGAACTGCTTTTTGGAGGCTGTTTGCGATAGTGTGTTCGATAAACCTGCTTGGTGCTGGGGGCCGAATGGCGCCGGTAGAGACTGCCCCGCCATGGTTGAGGCTGAGGGTTTTCATCAGCTTCTGACTCCTCATCAGAGCCCTCGGACAGTGAACTTTCGTCGTCAAAGTCGAACTCGGACTCCCCATCGCCCACGCTACTCGACTCAATGCCTAAGTCTGTCTCTGGCTCTGCGACGGGCATTGCTGCGTTGAAATGATCAGGCTTAGAATGCGCGGGGTTATAAACCCTGGTCTTACCCGGCTCATGCATCTCGGGTGGCTTCAACGGGCTAGGTTGGAGATGAGCATGAGGACCTCGGTGGACCGTACCCGGTGCGACAGAAGCTCCTCGAGGATCATTCCACATGGCCGGCATCTGTGGGATGACCCTTTGCGTCTCATGCTCTGTAATGGGGGCTGCAGGATCATGAATTTCTGCAGAAGGACGATGCTGTGGGTGCGCAGCAAGCGGCATCCCCTGCTGTATCCGGGCCGCCCATTGCTCTTGAGGGGTAGGCCGCTGTACTCCTGTCGGGAACGAATGCTGTGGTGCAGAAGGTAGGGGCTGCTGGTTATTTGCCATGTTGGCTGGCACTGGTCCTTGATGGGCGGCAGGTCCCTGATGGACGGCAGGCCCTTGATGAACGGCAGGCCCCTGGTGAACAGCAGGTCCTGCGTGTCTAGTCAACGGATCGGTTGGAGGAACAGTATGGCTCAACCTGGGTTCCTTATTGAAGAGGATATGACTGGTAGGCATTTGAAAGGTGTCTCTGGTAGGGGCTATTCTCTCCACAGGTTCATCGACTGGAACCTGCGGGTATACTAAGCTTGCAGCCTTCCTCAGGATGATGACTCCTAACGAGACCGTCTCATAATCACCGCGTCGAGAATTTTTTCCCCTAACAGGCTTCTTGTCCTCCTTCACATAGACGCAAGTCCATTCGAAGCGGGGACCGCTGGACCTAAGCTCGTGAATCAGTTGGTCGACGTGGGCCCGCTTCACTTCGGACAAAGAATGGTATTGCTCGGCCATGGGTAGCTTCTTGGTCCGGTTAACCACCATGTTCATCAAGTCTGATTGGCTAAGGTGCATCTTCGCTCTCTCAACCTGACTCCAGTTGCTCTTCTTCCCGGGGGTGGGGGTGGCCTTGAAGAAGGTATACCCCAAGTAGAAGAGGGGAGCGGCAGCATCAACGTCATTCATGGCAGCTATGCCTCCTGGCTTCTGCGTGTTTTTGCTGGAAGCCCTCTCGGTCTGTACATGGAGCCGGTTCATGGAGTTGATCAAGTAGTCTGGACTCGCTTGGCCTTGTGGGTTGAGCGATACTATACGAGGCTGCTCGTTTGATTGAACAGGTGGGTGATGCATAGGAGGGACTGGAGGGACTGGAGGGATAGGTGGAATCCGATTGTCTGAGTTGATCTTCGCCATACTCTAAGAGGCGGCTCCGTCTGGAGAGGATGGATGGGATCACAGCGAAGAAAGAGTGAGTAGGAGGATGGAAAAAGCAACAGTCACAGCACTAAAGAGACGACAAGAGGTAACCGGGGCCTCAACGACGATGTATGCGGATATTTGCCGCTGGAAACGTTGAGAGGGGGGAGGGGGGGAATATCAAGCACATATGCGTGCGTCATATATACTGAGGGAGGAAGTCCGTGAAGCGGACTGGAGTCAGTCCCCGGCACTCCAACGTCCGGCAAACAAGCTGTAAGAATGTTTCAGACAGGGCAGATGGTCGTTGCGTTCTGCCTTGTCATTAGAGAGAATCCCCGAACCTCAAAGTTTTCTGAGAAAGAGAAAAAAAAAAGCCCCCCGAAAGTAATTACAGGTAAGTCATGATTTGCTTCTACTGACTGCCTGACTGATTGTCTCTCTGATCACCCACCCATCCATCCATCCTATCGAAGAGCAACGCGCCGGTGACATTTGCAGGGCGCAAAAAAAAAAAAAAAAGAGCCCGGGCAACAATGAAGAGTCAGGCTGAATTGAATTCGTTGTAATTCGCTCCCGCCTTTTCTGTATTCCGTGGTTCCTTTTCTTTTGTCGCCTTCGTCACCTCCGAAGACCACGGCCTCGTATTAGTTAGTATTCTTACGCCTCAGCCGCAATGAGATCTGAAATTGGGGCTATGCAGGAGATGAGAAACACCAACAGCCAGCTATGCCAGATGCCAAAAGCGAAGTTGGATTTACAATGCTTAATAACTACCTAGGGAGGTAACGGAGCACTGCTGGAGAGAATACCCTCAGCTGCACCCCCTTTGGCTGCATTTACCTGCAGAGTGGCTCATTCTCAGTCCAGGCAACAGAAAGCCAGGAGCTCTTTTGTAGCCTGCCTAACCACTCAACGATCAGTTCCAACACTCACATCCAACGAAGGTGTTCGTTGATTGGGTGGCGGGGGGACTTGCACGATCAGGATCATGCAGCCAAGCCACTGTGGCGCTTAAAGCGCCCTGCTGCAGAGGTGCAAAACAATTACAAGCCATCCTTCCACCCTCAACGGACATTGGACAAAAACACATGGATCGGTACTTCACCACAGGCCAGGTGGATCCTGCCTTATCGCGTTGCATATGTATGGAAGATGCCATAGACGCGGCGCGACATACTTCAGTGCTTCACCCCCTTCCGTCACGTCCGCGGCTCCCAATTTCTGAGTAGCTCAGTTCTGCAAGCATCCGCACTGCAATCGGGGGCTTTCCTATTCTTAGGAAAACCTAGTCTACGCACATAGGAGGAGACCCTGACCGTGTTGGTGGGTGGTTGCGAATCTTGTTCCATTATACAGGCGTGCGCAGTTCATCCACTCCCAGCAGCATCATCCAGGCGACAGCCACGGGAAGACGCGCAAATCCTCTCTGTCAATGTTCATGCTGATAGGCCAGTCGGGGTGTGACTCACCTCCTCACTCCTGCAGGTGCAGACACTTCAGGTTCGAGCGATGTGAGCCCAGCTGAAGGGTCTGTCATCATTGGTCTCTTGGTCTCGCATTGTTCCTACGTTAGTCTTTCTGATGATGGAATGGCGACTATCAGGCTATTGCATTTGCCTGCTCTTTAGAGTTAAAATTCATTGAAGGTGAAATGCAAGAGTGCGATACCACGGACAAAGACGAGTAAAGACATGGGGATTGTTGCTATTTTGTGACCTTTGTGATCTGACGCTCATGAGTTCTTTATCAATCCTAGTAAGAGTTCCGGCTTCTTTGTTGAGCCACCGGCTTCATGTTCTTATTCCTGCTTTGTGTCGGGCCAATCGACACAATGGACTGTTGCCGCAATGGCTTTCATACACTGACCGCCAGCTTTTGTATTCCCGCCGTACGCTTCGACATCACCAGAATGAAGCCATTGTTTACTGAATCTCTCCAGCATTGCCTGCTTTCTTCCTGCCAATTCTTTCGATCTGATCTTAGGAGGACTATGGGAACTCATTTAAATTGGAGCCCCCCCTTTGGCTTCCTGGGCCAGGAGGAGTATCCAGACGAATACTAGATAGACTATATGGCCCTTGCTCAACAGAACCACGAACTGATCTAAACCACTACCGAGAGTCACCATGAGTACCTTTCCAGACCAAAAATGGGGCTATGATTTTCGACACCTTATTGACCTGATTGTCGGTGATAGAAGGCGCGATCCTGCGTACACCGATAGTTACCGCCACATTGAGAGATACGATTCAGAATTTGCTGCAGTCATCCATGATCTCCTGGAACCCGGGACTGAACTCGCGAACAATTTCCCAGACCTTCATCAACTTCTCTCCCGTCGCTACAATGCAGCCTTGGCTGCTCGGGAAACAGAAGTATCTCAATGCTGGCACACCCATCCGGATAGCGGCGAGAGATTTGATAGCCACAAGTACCAGACTCGGCTTCTGCGGCACCCGGAACTTGAAATAAGCAGGGATGACGAGGAGGGGAAGATAGATTCCAGATGGAAGTTTCTATGCCAGATCCTGAAGGAACAGCACTTCGTTATCCGGGGCATCATCGGCAGTGGAAGTATGTCCTCCCCATTTGGGACTGTCCTGCAAGCGCTCTCGGCTCACTATTGACCCTTTTCTTCACTAGGTTACGGTATTGTCCTCCTTGCCCATAAAAGTGAGTTGTCCCCGAGAACGTTATGCGATTGTATGGAGCGGTATTTGACTGATATTTTTCTCTGTTAGGAGACGATGAAGGTCGTTTGTACGCTATTAAGGTGGAGAACCTGGTTACAATCGCTACAACAGTGAACTATCACGAGAAAGTCAGGGTTGTCGGCGCGATTGGACCCTCACCCGTAGTGGCGCCCTTATTCTTACAGAACCAGGAACACCACTACATCCCAGTTGAGGCGTACATTCTGCTTCTGACCAACGAGTGTGGCCGGTTCCCAACCCTTGACTCGGTTTACACCCACCTAGTCTACCAGGCCATCGTGATGTCCGCCCACCTCGATCAGGCCGTTGCCGATGCTTCTTACATCCCCGAAAACCCTGAATATGACGAATTGCTCGCGCGGAGATTCAAGGCTTGCACCGCCAGTCAACTCGTAATGAAAAAGGAGACGAGACTGAGGGAGCACATGGTCTGCAAGATTGCATCTCAACTCCTGGAAGGCGTCGCCTATTTGCGGGACATGCATATCTGCCACGACGATCTCAAGAACGATAATTTCATCCTAGAAGAAGACTTGAACGTACGTTATTTCACCCTTTGCCTTCCCACCATGCTTCCTTCTTTGTGCGAGACTCCCGGTCATCTTTTCTTCTTCCCATATGATCGACTGCTCACTCGCGAATTGGATCCAAACAGACCATCATCATCGACATGGGACTCTACACATTCGGACTCACCAATGACGACTATCTCAAGGAGGAATACACCTACGTACCCGCCTACGAAGGCAGCCTTACGCCGGAACTGACCCTCGAGCTCTTCAAGCCCGACTATGTCAAGGAAGCGAGGGACTATTGGCAGTTCTGCATCAAGCTCCCCCACGACCAGCGGATGGTCGGCCTGTGGGTGCTGGCCTCGAATATCTACGAGCTTCTGCACGGATTCGCGCCCTGGGAGGACCCCGAGTGGGATAAGGAACTCTGTTGTGTGCCGGATTGGCGGCAACTCGGGTTGGGCAAACGCATCGCCACCGCGCGACTGAACGTGGCCAAAGAGCGGCGGAAACGGGTCGTCAACAAGGAGCTGCCGGTCTCGGAGAAGCTCTCGCAGGACTGCGCCGACGCCATGCTGATGATGTTCGCCAAGGACCCCGGAGACCGACCCACGTTGCCCGAGTTGGAGTCCTGTGTGTGGTTCGGGCAGTGGCTATACGAGGATGACGATCCCGGAAGGTTCGAGCGGCCGGTCACTAATCGTGAAATTTACCGGACAAGGATGGAGAGAGAAGATCGCGCACAGAAGCAGCAACAGCAGCGGGCTCAGCAGCAAGCACAGCAGCAAGCACAGCAGCAAGCACAGCAGCAAGCACAAAACCTGGTACAAATAGCGGTAGCAGTCAGCCAGCTTATCGCAGACAATGATGGAGACCAAATGCAAGAATAGGCGTGGACCGCTTTATCGTATTTGTTTTATTTTCCCTCCACCGCTTCCTCCTCTGAAGGCATTGCTCGATGATATGTGGTTTTTTTATTTCTCTGCAAAGCATGGACGGATTGCTTCAACATCGGTTTGTATAATAGTTTTTGAGCCCATTGCATCGGTATTTTGGGCTTTACCTGGAGTATAGAGGCGAAACTAGGTCATGAGAGACGACAGAAAAGTATAGATTTATAGACGTACAAGGCTAAGCCTTCGGAAGAATGATAGATGCATTATGCCCGATCCCGAAACCCCTAGCCACAAACGTGATAACAGCGTAAGAAAAGGCAGAAACAAGCCTAAAAAAAACGAAGAAAAGAGAAATCACAGCAGTAGCGACTCGTTTCATATCATCAGCGACGAAGACTATCCAGTCTTGCCTGTAAGTCATCATCACTTGCGTTTCCGGCGGCCCCGATCGGCTGCGCGACTCTTGCCTCACCCACGGCCGTCTTTTGTATATCCGTCGGTGTCTCACCCAGCTAGATGACACAAGTGGACAGTTAGTATACGAAACCACCACAAGACACGCATGCCCATAGGTGGGGAACAGAGGGACATCACGCACCGCCTGGCTCAGGTCCACGCCAATCTCATCCAGCACCTCCTTGACGATATCCTCGCTGTCCTCCTCCTCGCCCTCCATGCCCGTCGCCTCATCGATCGCATCGTCCATCATCTCCTGCCGTTGGTCCATGATATCGTTCTCGCGCTCGAACTCCATCGCGATGCGCTGCAGCGCCGGCAGGTTCATCTGCCGGTTCATACTGCCCAGCAGCATCGTCGCCCCCTTCATCGACTGCATCATCTGCTCGTTACTCCGTACCGTCTAATTTTGGGTATGTTAGTTGACATCCGAACACCAATCCAACTCCCAGCCCCCCCCCCAACAAACCGGTCCATCGAGACCGCAAAGACATACCTGAATCCGCAACGAAATCGCCTGCAACTGCGTGCGCATTTGATAGAATTTCTGAATGTACCTGTTTCCCACCGCATCAGACAAACCCCGGTCCAAATAGCGCATACCGCAACCATGTACGGATGGAGAGTCCGTGTATGTGTCTGTGTGTGACTAGGTTCTCCGGACATACCTCCGCGTGCGCACCAAGTCCTTAGCCTGGATCTTGCAAGCCCCGATCTGCCCATTCTTGGCGCTCTTCTTGATGTCCTGGACGAGTTTCTTCTCCTGGTTCTCGAGCTTCACGCGCTCGCGGTCGAGTTCTCGTTGGGTGCGGTCGAGGGCTCGTTGGTGTTTGCGGAGGCGTTCGGCGGGGGTCATGCGCTTGCCGAAGGCCCATTCGACGATCTGGAGGTTTTTTCTTGGTTAGGATTCGGGGGCAGGGATTGGGGGGAGGGTTAGGGGAGGGTTGGGGGAGGTGGGGTGATTGTGCGACACTTCGAGAAAGGTAGGTCTGATTGGATAGTTTGGGGGAGAGGACTTACGTTCATGATGTTGGTGTTGTGGGAAGGATCAGGATCTCACCACGTTTGAAGGGAAAGGAGGAGGGAGGGAGGATTATCGGACGATTGGGGATTGTAGTGGTGCTGGTGGTGGTGTTGTTGATAGGTAATGTAACCTTAGTGAGTGAGCCTGTGAGGGACGACCAGCCGCAAGTGACATCAAGCTAGCCAGCCGTCCCGTAAGGCCAGGCCGGAGTTAGTGTACTGTACTGCTGATACTGGCGTTACCCATAGAAAAGGTGTGATAGATGGTGTTGAATACACTTCTCATACCCAAGATACTCGCCCACAGTCACATGCAGGCCCGACACTGAATCCTCCCCCCACTAAACCCTTTTCAGCCAGCCATGAACGAATTATTTTCCTTCGTTGCTCTTTGCCTTTTGCCTCCCGCGCGGAATTTCCATGATTTGCTGAGTGCTTCTCATTGCTTGCTTGCTTGTTGCTGCTTGCTGCTGTTCCAACTTTGGTGCATGCATTAATTATTATTCCATCTTCCATTCCTGTTCCATCCATTTATCCTTCCATCACTAAGCCAAATCTAATCTCCCTCGCCTCCCGTGCACGGCACCTGCACCCACTCCCACTCCCACTTTCCACTCCTTCCGTCCTCCGCGACTTTTCTGTCCTTCCTTTCATTCAACTCTTCCAGCAACGGGGTTACGCCCACATGCAAAAAACCACCCTTTCGCCATGAGTCAGGAGTATTTCCCCGGCCAAGGCGCCTCTTCTTCCTCTTCTTCCGCCGGATCCTCCTCCAGCCAGCAGCAACCGTCGCCCGAGGACGACTCCGCCATGAATGGTACCCCCTCGTCCGTCCCGAGACCCCCGCCCGCGTATATGACCGTCGGAAATGGTTCGACCTCCGAGAGCGCAACGGCCTTGATGGCCTCGCTGCATGAGGACTCCGGGTACGGTGGCAGCATTCCTAGTGGGAGCGTGGTCGATGGTGATGCTGGAGCTGCGGTTGGTGGCGGATGGCGAGCGGATCTGATGGTCGATAGCCCGACTCCCATGCATGCGCCCTCTCCTCTCGGAGAATGGAACCCAGCAGGTGCGTTTCTTTTTGATGCTCTTCTTGGAGGAAGATCCGTTCTTTCAAAAGGGTGTGTCAACTAACGCGTCGGAATCTATAGCTGAGCACGAGCGACAGGTCGTCGCGAGCCATGTGCACCAGTTACTCTAGTACGTGCGTCATATTTTTGTCTTGCTGTTCATCAGCGACACGCCTCGGTCGGTTTTGATATCTGTTGAAAATATGCTAAGATTTGGGGTATAGTAACTCGAACCGGACCAAACTCGGACGCGCCATTACGCGCACCATTGAGACCCTGAAGGAACTCCAGGCCATGAATCGGCAATGGCCCGCCCATTATCCCTCGGTCCAGAATGATCTCGAGTCCCCCGACGACAAACCCACCCTGCACAAGGCCCAGTCCTTCTTCGGAGATGACGCCATGGATTCGATGCCCCGTCCCGGCCAGATGCGGCGCGCCGCTACGATGACCGCCGGCGAGGATCTGGCGGAATCGAGCGCAGCCGCGCAGCGTCGCGTTCCCACGGAGCCCCGGCTGATGAGCCCGCAGATCGCGCAGGAGTTCTCGATTCTCAAACTCGACCTGAAGCTGGGAGCCCTGTCGCAGGCCGAGTTGGTTCACTCTTTGGAGAAGGCATCGATTGCGTCGCTGTTGGATGGAAAGATCAGCCAGAGCGTCAAGCATCTCCTCTCGCTGCGGGATCGGATTGAGGATACTTCCAGCAAGGTTTTGATTACCGGTGATCTGAATGCCGGAAAGTCGACTTTCTGTAATGCACTGTTGCGCCGCAAGGTTCTGCCCGAGGATCAGCAGCCATGCACTAGCATCTTCTGCGAGGTTCTTGATGCACGTGAAAACAGCGGTCTGGAGGAGGTGCATGCCGTCCACAAGGATGTCCCCTACAATCGCAACGACGAGAGCACCTACGACGTCTATGGGCTGCATGAGCTGGAGGATATTGTCATCGACAACTCAAAGTACATGCAGTGCAAGGTCTATGTGAAGGATGTGCGGACCATCGACGAGTCTTTGCTTAACAACGGGGTTGTGGACATCGCGCTAATCGACGCCCCTGGTCTGAACTCGGACTCCTTGAAGACGACGGCGGTCTTTGCCCGACAGGAGGAGATTGATGTGGTCGTGTTCGTCGTTTCCGCTGCTAATCACTTTACTCTTTCTGCCAAGGAGTTCATTCTCAATGCTGCCCACGAGAAGGCTTATATGTTCATTGTTGTCAACGGTTTTGATCAGATTCGCGACAAGCAGCGGTGTGAGCGGATGATTTTGGATCAAATCGGCAAGCTCAGCCCTCGCACCTACAAGGAGGCAGCCGAGCTGGTTCACTTTGTCTCAAGTAACGCCATTCCCGTGGCACCTCCGGTCTCCGTTTCCAGTTCGGGCGGTGGTGGCGACGATGGCTCTGACGATGACGAGCCTGAGGATAAAGGAAAGGGCAAGGACAAGGGCAAGCAGCGGCAGAAGATTCAGGACTTCGAGAATCTTGAAGGTTCTCTGCGCCGGTTCGTTCTGGAGAAGCGCTCTCGCTCGAAGCTGGCGCCTGCTCGGACATATCTTCTGAACTTGCTCGCGGATCTGAACTCCCTGGCTGGAGTCAACCGTGATGTGGCCCAGGCTGAACTTAAGCGCGTCACGGACGAGCTGGCTGAGCTGGAACCTGCTTACGAAGAGGGCAAGAAGAAGAAGGTGGAACTCAGCGATCAGGTTGAGAAGTACATCGACGAGTCATGCGACGATGTTTACAACCACACCCGGTCAAGCTTGGGTGAAACCATTGCTCATGTCTCCGAAGCCGACTTAGGTGTTGAGTACCCCGGTCTGTTCTCTGCGTTCCAGTACGCCGAGGACTTGAAATTGGCTATGCTGGATCAGATCGCCGCATCTGTAGCGGACTGTGAGGACTATGCTCGGGACAAGACGGTCAAGGGCGTTGGCTTCATTCAGAACATTGGTCTTTTGCACGTCGGCGAAGACAAGTTTGCGCCTTTGAACTTCCGCGCGGACATGATGTTCCGTCGTGGTCGTCGTCATACGCTTGCCAGACAGGTCGACACCGAAGTAGAAATTTGGGATTTCTTCGATATCTCCGGTATTTGGGAGCGGCAAGAGAAGATGGCCGGTACGGGAATGGCGATGACCGCCGTAACTGTCCTCGGAGGCAGAGCCTTTGGTGGTATCGGCTGGGTTGACAGTATGTTCAGTGCTGTTCGGTTCTTGGGACCGAACAATGTGCGCCGACTTTTCCTGCCTGGTGTTTTGGCAGTCGGTACGTTGTTCTGCTTTTTCCTTGTTTGTTTGATTTTCACTAACAGTAGACTCAGCCGCTTTGACTGCTGCTTGGATGGTTTCTACCATCCCTACTACCCTTCCCCCCCGTCTCTCCCGCAAGCTTGCAGCTACACTCTCAGAGATGGACTACGTCCACTCCAACGCTACGCGTATTTCCTCCGAGGTTCGCCGCATTCTGCGCCTGCCCGCCGGAAACCTTCAGACCAGCCTCGCGCAAGACATCGAAGACCTCGGACGTCGCAAGCACGAAGTCAGCAAGACCAAGCATGAAAGCGAGACCGCCAGCAAGTACTTCTCGAATCTCTTCCGCGAGAGTGGCGAGAACCGCAGATCTGTGGAGAGCATTGACTTGGATGCTCCTCTACCTGGTGGCCTGGCGGCGGCTCATTAAGCATGGATGGGGTAGTTTAGAGGTTTCGCAGGTGATTTCTTTTCCTTGTACAAACCGTAATGATGCTGTACGAACTTTTTACTATTCCCATTTGGCTGTGTGTGTGTGGTGTGCTTTGGGCCTTGTGCCGCCTTCCTCCCCCGCCCCCTTCTTTTTCTTCTTTCTACCACCAAAATATCCCGTCGTGTATGAGTTACAGCTCTAGTCTTTTCTTCTTCCTTCTACCTCTTCTTCTTCTATCATCTTCCCAGTAATCATGGCGTGATTGGTGTGCTCCGCACGGACGAGAGATAACTTGAAAATTCCTTTGTCAGATTGATATCCTAGATAAGATCCTGTGCATGTGCCTGCCTCGCTTAATTCTAGTGGCGCTAACTGCGGCGCTATTGTTGTTGAAGCTATTCAAAGCCCCCAAGCAACGGACCAGGGTACCGTCCACGTGGGCTGCCGGTCCGTGCGTGCCGTCCCGCGCCGGATTTTCCCTTAACTCCGACCGTGCCCTAAGTCAATATCCTCACCGATGTAGTCCCGTAGCACGTAGGCTTCTTGACAGGCTGTTCTTGAAAGAATGGTTCTTCTTCACGCCCACTTCTTTGATGAATGTAGGCTTAAGAGATAGTCCTTCACAGCTGCATTCTCCAGCCTTGGGTGAACCAGCCCGAAGGACACGGAACGACGACTCCCGGTGCGAAGTGTTCTGCCTTCCATCTCTGAGTCTTCTTTCCACCCCGCTCCATGTGGTCTCCTACTCAGACCTTGCAATTTTCAGTTGTCTATTTACCAGCTATCTTGCTTTTGATGCACGGTACAGGAAGCATATGTCTTTGTGATAAGGGGTTTGATCCCAACTGATCTGGGATGACGAGAAGAGATGCGGGGTTCTATGGCTGCTTCCGAAGCGAAAGACCACACAAATTCCCAGGGTCTAGAGAAAAAGCTTTAGTTGTGCCAACCTCGCAGGATTTGGATTAGGCCAGGATCTTCTCGAGTGAGGAGTCCAGACTGGTTGGGAATGAGGCCATATCAGAGAGCTGGCCTTTTCGCAACGAATATCTGGCATTGCATTCGAGATGCAAGGGGTGAGACTTTGGTACTTCAGGGTGGTGGTGATTGTCGAAGCCAGGCGGTTTTTTTCTCTGTCGCAACCCAGATTAGATCAGGTCCTCCTCAATCAATTGTGGAAGAGTTCCCATTTTTCCGATCGCTTGCGTGGTCTTGGGAATCACCAGTAAGCGAGTCCACAAAGGTGACGACTGCTATGAACCTTGGTTTGGTCCTTTTGAAGGATTATCCAAGTTGTCAAGCCGGTAATCTTTGTGTGCTTCTTTCTACACAATATTTGTACGATGACTGACAGTCTCCTTCATCCCGGCGATCAAGTCATTTCCTTTTACTTTTCTGTGTCGGAATTTCCGTCTTGTCATCTGTTCTTGCTTCAGAAATCACCCCTCACTTCTGAAGTGTTTTTTCTGCTTTCAGAATATGAGAGCTTATTTTCTTTGCCTTGTTCCACCTCCACTTACATCCTGGGGAATTCCCACGTGTTTTTCTGGACTGTACAAGTTCTGGCTTCTCTCTATTCGCGCAACTCGAAGACAACTTTGCCCACCGCTGTCAAGTCAAGCCCATTTCACAAGCTTCATCTGTCTTTCAAGACCCATTGCTCAACTTGAGTGCTGCATTACCATTATCAGCGACCGGTCTACCCTCGGACCAGCAGGTTGCTGTCTGGTGAGTTGTCAATGTCATGATGGGCTGCACACTCATCTGAAATATGGACAAAGACACCATTGTCAGATGTGTCAGAGCTTGAAAGCAATTGATGTCCTGGTTGGAGCCAATCCTCTCTAGCACCACTGCTGAGCTGGTACTTGCTGTTTCGAGGCGGTTTACTGGGACTCGGTGACACATCGTCACGGTGATCAGTTCACTCTCCATGTTGATTGTCTGAGAGACTACCTGGGCAGGATTCTATTACGTATCATAGCTCCGCTATGAGCATTGGTATGTCTACACCTCTGTACGAACTGATTGTGTCTGATGCTAAATGTCTACAAATAGTACCTTGGTCTACACCGTGTGCGGATGAGAAACTGGGGTGAGGAAAACTCTTGCCTTTGCCGCCGCCGCCACCACCACCATCACGATCACCGTTAATTCAGGCGTTCGTGTATTTTGACACAACCTACAAGTCGAGTCTCGACTTGTCGGTTTGTTGACACTCGGACGAACTGGGTTCTGATTAAGACGATGGGAAGAATGGTTTAGTACCACCACTTCACCGGGTTCTGATCCATTGCTTCCTTGCTTCAGAGAACCATATCTCATGGTGACCAATCCTACACGTGGTGACCCCTCAAAGTGCATAAACCTGGATTCTTGGGGCATCATTCAACAAGCCTGTCGTCATTTTAGATCAAATAGGCCGGCCTTTTCTTATCCTTACGATGAAGACTCTGTATGAGCATTGCTGCTAGGACTGTAAGGCAGATATCTGGAACTTTGGTGTACTGGTAAGAGAACCACGTCGCTAGTCTTCTCGACACATGGACTCTAGATGCTGATGTCTGGTTTGCCAAGTTGTGGAATATTCTTGGGAGGCAGGAGTTGTTCCGGCAAGTGCAAACTGCTGACCGCCGATACGACGCGAAGTCGCACCTTGCGGAGATGATTGCCCTACTCGGTCTGCCCCCCAAGGCATTACTTGCAAAGTCAAAGGCCATGTCAGAGCACAGCTGGCTTGAGCCTATCCCGAACAACACTGGCGAGCTTTGCAATAATGCTCAAGAGTCTTTTGGTGGTCCTTTCTTCGACACAGAAGGTGGGTGGTGGGATGAGATTGGTGTTGGACGCTGATACTGACCTCTTGAAGGTGAATTTCAATATAAGGAGTTGACCCCGTCCCGAACCCTGGAGGATACAACTCCGTTCCTCGGAGAGCAGGATCGAGAGGCGTTTTTATCCTTCGTCCGACAAATGCTCACCTGGAATCCAGAGGAAAGGGGACAGCTCGCGAACTAATTGAACATCCATTTTTAAAGCTTGGACGTTGATCAAAGTCCAAACATCAAGAAACGAAGCAAACACCAATGGAGCTGTGAACAAGTAAGCAAGCGAGGGACGGAGGGACGGAAAGAGGCCGTCTACAGTGGGCTGGCCACTCCTGCCAAATCAGCACCCCCGCACCTTCGCAGGATCCATCTCACCACCGCCTAAGATCTCTTTGATCTCTTTGCATGAGGTTCTAAAACTTGACATTATGACCCTGAGTGCCTTGCGCTTGGTCCACACCACGGTTCAACAGCAGGTTGGTTTGACTCCTCTCTCGTCGAATATAGCCATCCCGACTTGGTGGTTGCTCATCCGAGTGGCAGGGGCGAGTTTTGGTAATCACCGAAGTACTACCGGAATGCTACTGGAGGGCTACTGGAGGGCTCCTGGAGGGCTCCTGGAGGGCTCCTGGAGGGCTACTGGTAGAACTCATTGACAGCAACATGTCTCGCTTTCAAGTTCTTCGTCCACGACGAGCAATAGGATAAGGGGTATGGTACAAGAAATCCCAGCTGCTCTTGCACATTGTGCGACGGTATTGCTTCCCAATCAAGTATGATCTGTTTCGCCTTGTAGGGTCACTCTCTTGATCCGAGCTGTCGCAAAACAACCGACGCACCTCCCCCGAGCTCGCCACCGCCGGATCAAGCCCTCCGCGAGGCCCAGAAGGATCGAAAGTGGCCTTCTTCTTCCATTTTGGATCTTCGAGATTCATCCCGGCCCCAAGGTCTAGCCATTTGGTCATGATCACTGCCTTGCCATCCTGGCCACAGTCTTCATGGAAAATCTGAAATTCGACCTCGCAAAGTGAAGACCGCATACACTCCGCAGCGGGCGACGGTTGCTCGTCCAGGGAAGAGGATCCCCGCTGCTGGACAACAGATCGAATGGCGTCCATTACCGCCGCAGTGCCCAGCTTCTGCCCACTGCAAATGAACAGACGCTGGAACACTGAAAGAGGAACATCATTGTCCCTGTCGGGAAGACGACGAAACAACACCCACTGCTGTATCTGCAGAACTAGCGATGGTGGTGTCGAGCGAGCCCCAGCAGGCACTGGGCTCAGGTCGCAGAGACCTGTCGTGAAGTGATGTAGTGCTTGGCTGCATAGACCTAAGCAGATGATGTCGACTGTTTGCCAAAACGTCTGCGATTTGCAGTAACAGTTCCGGCGGTAGCAATTCCAGCTCAGAAAGTCGCTTGCGCTTGGCGTGTGGGCGGCTGGGTAAGAAGAAACGAAGTGGCCGAGAAAGGCAGTCTTTAAAGCCCTTCATGACACCCTCAGATTTAGATGGGTCTGTGCTGTACCTATCCTTGATCGGGCGATAAGATGCTCCGTTGATTGTACAATCCTTTCTCAAGCAACGGCTCAAAATTGGAGAAAAGAAATCCCTCAAGCGGTAACCGGAGCTATATCCCGTAAACAGCCACAAAAGTGAGTTCATCGCAGAGCATCTCCCATAGACACATGTTGTCATTCCCGCGTGGACGGTCAGTCAGCCTGGATTGTTTGCGCAGTTTCCGCTCCTCCCACTACGCATGCACCTTCCACCATTCAACCACGCCTTTGCCTCCTTTCTTCGGTCTTCGCAAGCAGTCGACAGGGTCAACAACATCAAGGTCAAGGCCCAAAACACTGACCATGAGCTTAGACACCAGTGCGATCGAGCAGCAGGGGGGGTGCGCAGCTGAGCATGCCACGAAGAACGTCGACATCCCCGAAAGCAGCATCAGCGGTATCAGCACTTCTCCAGCAGATCCGATACTCTCGAAATTCGAACTCCTCCCGCCGGAGCTTCTGCTATGCGTCAAGGGTCTCTTGGGGGATAGAGATGCCATCCACTTGGGTATGTGCAGCCAGACTCTGCGGAAGAAGGTCACCCAGTCTCCCCGCACAGAGGAGCTGAAGAAGGTCGGTCGACTATTTCCTTTCCCCCTCTTTGAATTTCACCTCATCTCCACTAACCACAAAAACCTATTCTCTAGGCTAGTGTTTCCGCCCCGGCTCAAAGCCCACTAGAAACGGTGATCATCTGGCTCGGCATCTTCCACCCCGAGATCGAAATCCTGCGCCTCACGGGTCTCATCCTACGCGACTGCACCCAATCCCTCCAAGAGCCACCCCCATCTGAGAAGACTAGAGTTGCTCTCCTCAAGACCCTGGTCAAGGCCCAGAAGGCCCAGCTGCGCCTGGACGAGGAGTCGTTGCGCCGGCTGCGGGAGCTGCTGCAGGTGAACCAGCGCCAGAGCGCGCAGCTCGACGAGATCATTCGACTTCTGAAGGCGGCTCTAGACGGCCGAGACACAGCCTCGGAGGTTGGGGAAGTTAGATAGCTTTCATTTGGGGCGGGGGGATACTGTGGTTGTTCTGTCTTGATGAATATCACCAGAGGGATCGGGTGCTGAACGCGGCGGGACAACTACAGGCTCCTATACAGGCATCGTAGGAATGCTGCTCAATCAAGCTTGTCCAGACTCTGGGTGCTCCAACTCCAATGCACGATGTAAACCACCAAGTCCACCAGACGTCATCAACCGGAAGACTGATGGTGCCGATGATTGCGGGGAATCGTAACCATTACGATCTTGTTTGTTACTATATAAGAATCATGACTGCGCCATGAGGACTCCCCAAGAATTGTATCGTACAATGGCATCCGGACTGGCCTATCGCCTTGACCGGCCCAGTCGGAATTTTCTTGATATCCACTCCGCGCCACGCGAGCGCCTTGAAAGCGCCGTGAGGCTTTACCGAGCCCGATGTCAAAAGCCGCAGCGACTGCATTGCCAGCCGCCACTGCCGCTGCACCAACATGCACAGTCTATGTGGAGCTCACTGCCGCTGGAGATCGTCCGCATGATCTTCCTGAACCTCAACATGATCGCCCTTGGTGCCTTACGGCTGGTCAACACCACGATCCACCACCAGGTGGCCGCGGCTCTCTTTGAATCTCGTCTTCTCCGTGACCACGCAGCCGAGGCCCTCCAAGCACTGGACCTGGCCCAGTGTACGCACTACTTCTCAATCGAACAGCTGTATCACGAATTCTGCCATCCCCGGTGCCGGACCTGCGCCAACTTCGGCCCCTACCTCTACCTTCCAACCCTCTCGCGGGGGTGTTTTCCGTGCCTGATGAAGCACGGCCGCTACCGCGTCGCCTCCCTCGAGGACATCCTCCAGTTCTACCGGCTGCCCCTCGAAGACTGGTGCCATCTCCCGGTCATCTACACCGCGTTTGACCTGCTGGGCAAGTATCCGATGACGGAGCGGATGCTCATCGACATCACGCAGGCCGAAGCCCTGCACAAGCAGCGCGGCAGCCCCCCACCGGCGCGCGAGGGCTCCACGTACCAGAGGTATTATGGCTTGACCTTCAACTGCCGGCTGGCGTCCACGGTGGCCTTCCCCTACTGGGACGCGCACGCCCGCGCGGCCGAGCCCGGGGCCTACTGCCTGGGGTGTACCGCCTTCTGGGAGCGATCTCGCCTGAAACGCCGCGTGGACCCCCGAACCTGGGAGCAGTACTATGCATGGGCAGCCAGATCGCCGGGCCACGGCGCCGTCGATCGCGCATTTCGCGTCCCGGAGCTGCAGCAGCACTTCCAGACGTGTCCGCATGTGGTCAGGCGGTTTGCACACAAAGACGAGGTGGCGCGGAGGTTTAACGCCCCCATTGGGCGCGTCTTTCGCGTGCCGACGCCTCCTCGTCATCGTCATGGTGGTGCTGGTGGTGCTGGTGGTGGCAGTGAGGGTCGAGCTGCTTTGAGACGGTCTGCACGGCTTCAGAAGATGAGGGAGAAGAAAAAAAACCATGTTGACAGCCCCGCAGTCTTGGTAGCCAGGCCGCGCTGGTTCTTGGCTGGTTGGTTGGCTCCTCTCAGATAGCCTCGCATAGCTGAATTCAGCCCATCATCCACGCACGTATCCACATCTGTGGCCAAATAACATTGGTAGGCATCTCCCCATGTATTCGACTTTAGTTGATCAACGTGACCTTACTTCTACTACGTTATATAATAAACCCTGTCCATGGCACAAGAGAAATGTCTGTAAGAGCTGAGACAGGTCCAAGAGTATACGTATGTAGGATGCTAACCTTCGTCTTCAACCGGTGTTACTTTGACGTCTACGCCGCAACAATTCCAAGGTATCACTTTGATAGGAGCGTTTTCCCGCTCGGCCAGAAGGGTAGTCGGAACATCGATTGGGCCAATGGTTCACTCCATGGGATTCTTGATTTTGTCCCACTTCAATCAGTTTGTTTTACTGTGTGGATGCCGGAGCAAGGGCAACACGGACTTCCATCAATGTACCGCCCGCTGTGATACCTTTGCGGACCATCGAGGTCCGAAAGCCCCATTACGGCTACCAGCACCGTGTCGACGACCCCCGGGCAACGATGATAATGGACCGATCCAATTGGAGGTGCCCGAATCTGGACGAGGTTGCCAATGTGCTGTACTCGTGTTGGGGTCTTTGTTGTCGTGCGGTCATCTCGTTTTCCTTGCTTGGCATGAGACTCGGGGTACTCGGGGATATTGTATTGTCCCCACCGATCCTTACTATTGTTCCTGGCTTCAATAATCTCTTCAACGAAGGGGAGCCGGGATCCACTCACGCGAGTTGGGCTTGTTCCCTGGATTTCATCGTTCCCGTCGTCTGCCACCCAGAGAATTGAGATCCTCGCAAGAAGCAGGTTCACGAGGCCACTTCACCTTGACTTCACCTTCCAGCAAACAACTTGAAGCAAACAAAAATGTCATCAAAGCGCAGTATCCTGATCACCGGCTGCTCCGACGGCAGTCTAGGATCCGCCCTCGCGCTCCACTTCCACCAAGCCGGCTGGCGCGTCTTCGCCACGGCCCGCAACCCCGCGAAGCTCAAGGAGGCCGAGAAAGCGGGCATCGAGACCGTCCTGCTGGACACGTTGTCCGACGAGTCGATCCGCGCCTGCGTCGCCCGCGTCCAGGAGCTGACGGACGGGTCCCTGGACGCGCTGATCAACAACGCCGGCGGCGGGTACTCCATGCCTGTCATGGACATCGAGATCCCGATCGCGCGGGAGCTGTTCGAGCTCAACGTCTGGTCGCTGATCAGCGTCGCCCAGGCCTTCCTCCCGCTGCTTCTGCAGTCGGCCCAGACCGGTGGCAACGGCGGTCCGACCCTGCTCGTCAACCACACCTCCATCTCCGGCACCATCGGCGCCACCGGGCCCTTCGCGGGGGCCTACAATGCCTCGAAGGCGGCCGCCTCCAGTTTCACCGAGACTCTGCGGCTGGAGCTCGAGCCCTTCGGCATCAAGGTGATCAACCTCGTCACCGGCGCGGTGCGGTCCACCTTCCACGATAAGGCGCCGCACCCGACCCTGCCCGCTTCGTCCCTGTACAATGTGGCCAAGGACACCGTGGAACGCGCCTTGACCAATCTCGATCCCGAGAATGATACCCCGGCCGCGGCGTGGGCGAAGCAGGTGGTTCGCGACCTCAGTAAGCGCAGTCCGCCGTATTGGATCTGGCGCGGCAAGCTCGCGAGGATTGCCTGGATTGCGGGGCTCCTGCCGCTGGGGTTCTTCGATGGGACGATGAAGAAGTGGGTTGGTTTGGATGTGGTGGAGCAGCGGTGGAAGGAGCAGGTGAATTCATTGTCTTGAGATGTGTAGGTTGGTTGGAAATGAGGTTCTTTGTGCCAATGGATGGGTATATAATGCACGCCTCTGTATGGTAAGAACCGAAGGTGTTGGTCGTATGGAGGAGTCTTTGGGTGGGCATAAGGCCCGGGAGGGAGTTTCGTGATCCATAGTATCGTTTTCTTTCTTTTCTGCCTGCTATCGTCTCGCGGTGACTTGGTGGGTCTCGATCCAGCTGATGACAACTGTGGACTTCTTAGGCTGTTCATCAGACTAAACCTATACTAGCAGCGTATAACCGGTTAGAACCAAGTGAACATGAGATAGCACAGATAGCACAGATAGCCAAAGAAAGCAAAGAAAGAAAAGGGGAAAGCAAGGCTTTGATAGTAGAACCAGACTTGCAATATAGATGTAATTGAGAAACCTGGGCCAATAAAGGGAGCGGTAAGAGGACAGATAGAGCACACTCAGAGTTGTAAGCGGCGCGAGGTCATGGCAGACTGCGAGAGCATACGAAACAGCCCAACTACTGACTGTACATTATCCGAAACGATATAGTTAACCAAAAGGCCACATACCTCTCGCCTCATCCGAGGATCTTTCCTCGGCTGCCCGCTCAATCCACATCGCAAGCAACTCCCGATTCTGCCTCCGCTTCTCCGCGACATCCAGCTGCGGCGCGATCCACCCTTCCGCATCGGTGCCCAGACACTCCATCGCGAGCTGCCGGACCTCATTCCACACCTGATACTCTGCAAACTGACGTTCGTGTCGACTGATCTCTTCATCGCTGAATGCATAAGGGCATTTGCCCTGGAAGCCCAACGCCGACCAATTCCGCCAAATCTCAATCAGACACTCGCGCAGCGGCACGATCCCAACCACCGAGACTTCTCCACAGCGTACAAATAATTCCCGAAAGACGCGGGGGACGTTCATCACCGCGTTGTACGCGACGCGGTCTTCGAGGAAATTTGCAACGTCGTATGCTTTGGCAAGCTTGGCCTGTGCGAACTCCTGCAAAGCCACCGCTTGGCTTTCTTCGTCGAGGTCGGTGAAACCGTCCGGGAGTTTGGGGTTGCCTAACCCCTTGCGGTGGGTTACTGGTGGCTTGAGAAAGTCTGGGCATCGGGCTTGGAGGAATAGAGGGTGACAGGACAAGGACTGGAAGTCGATCAGGGAGACGATTCTCGAGGTCTCGTCGGGAGCGACGAAGATGTTGCCCATGTGGAGGTCGGTGTGCCAGAGGGTGGGCTGGGTGTATTGACCGGGGATTAATGAGTGTGATTCTATCTGCTTTATGATGCGTGTTGTGGTTTCTAGGAGCTGGGTTTGCTCTTCAATGCTGCCTTGCTGGAATGGTAGTCGGGGAGGTGAGGTTCGGTGCGTGATCCGCAATATCTCGCGGTCTGCGATGGATGTTCCCAGGTCTGAGAGTGTCCGCCCTGGCGATCGGTGAGCTAACGCAGAACATGACCTGTTGTGGTGAGGACTTACAAGGTCCATGGCTAACGCTTCCAAACCGGAGGGCAGCTGAATCAGTGGCTGCCACATACCACGAAGGATCACACGAGGGCCCGACACAATACTGCTCAGAAGAGTCTACGCCCACACGCGCCGGGGCTGGTTGTATCCCGGCCGCATCAACCCTCCGATAGAGCCCCCCGTAAGCAGGAAATGCAATAGCCGACAGTTGCGCCTCAAGCTTCGTCAGATTCCTAATCAGTCCCAGCCTCTCGATCTCCGCCATCCCATCCCATCGTTCATACAGCGGAACCCCGGCCGCCGTCTCCATGATGATGTACTCGGCTCCAACCGGGTTCGAACTGTCTGAAGACCAGGAGAGCACTCCTGGGACGGGGATGCTCGTATACTTCTTTACTGATACCATATGAGCAGGAGTGAGATTGATGATAGCTGAGGGTAGCATACACACCACACTGCAAAACGGCGACCTCAGAGGCAGTGGTCAGGGCGGCTGGTCCTGCAATATGAAACGGGAGTTTCGCAATGACCTTATCGCCATTCTCCTTCGTCAGCAGAAGGGCTTTGCTGAACCCTCCCTCGATTTTTTCAATAGTTCTTATCGGAGAAAGGTTTCCACCGGCAGGAGCAGCAAGATCGCAAAGAGCGTCTATGTCGAACTTCAGATATCGTCGACGGAGCTGGGTTTCTTCGTCGAGGAGGAAATGCCCATTGGTATAGCCGAATAGCTCTTCGCGGGCGATGGGTTTGCCTGGGAGGGTTAGGAGGATTCACTACTAGATGTACGGTACTGTGCTTCGGGACGCGTTTTACCTCGACAGAGAATGGATAGTGGAGCTGTTGACTTTCGAGGCTTGGGATTAATGAAGGATCTACGGAGTGAAAGCATACCGGCGTTGGACGCTTTGTATGAATAGGCAGAATTGGGGGAGTGGTTATTGTTAGGGATAGTTGCAGGGGACGACGCAGTCGAGGATGAGTCAGCGTGGCCTACCGTTATCCTGCAGGGATCCATGCAGCATCACTTTTCGACGCTTTGGGGAATCACTCTTGAGAGTGTTTTCCTTTGCCTCTGGGTGATAGAGTAGCTCATCGATATTTCTCTGCCTCTCTTCCCACTTACCAAGTTGCCATACCAAGTTACCATCGATCGAATATTGCGAAACTGACAAGATGCATGTTTCGCGCATGGCTAGTTGCATGACGCCATGACCCTCAAGAGATCTCAGCCCTTAGTACTCATTGCATGAGATGACTGTCCTCAAAAATGACATCTTAGATTCTCTCTCAGATCACAAGAATGATGCGCCACAGCCACAGGCACGAATAAGATATTAAAAAGCACAATGTATTCAGCACGTATGAGAAAGGACGCCGCGCCATGCATGCATATCATGAACAACATATTCAACCCTACCAGGATCCAAATCCAACAACTACCCCCACCCCCAACCGGAGGGTAGTACGGGGAGAACCGATCCATATCCCAGAACGAGCTCAAAATCCCCTCTCCCCAATAGCCTTCTGCCCATGCCTCGTCCTCCGCCCCCCACCCCACCCAACATTCTCCAGCTCCCGGACCTCCGACACAAGCAGCTGATCCGCGAGGCCGGCCGCCTGGTTGCTGTTCTTCTTCTTCGCCACGACCTTCCCCGCCTGATGCAGGAACTGCTCGCGCATGGCCACGGCGTCCGGGTCCTCGTAGTCCAGCTGCGTCATGGCCGGCGGCTCGTTCTCGTCCTCCCCGCCCGCGTACTCATGCTCATACTCGGACATGACCATGGAGTTGCTGGCGGCCCTGCCCTCCATGTCCAGGTACTCTAGTCGGGCGGCGGTGCTGTTCGCGCGGGAGAAGATGCCGCCGCTGTCCGCGGGGTGGTTGGAGTCGAAGATGGCGCTGCCGCAGCCGTCGTCGTTGAGGGTGTCGATGGAGCTGGCGCGCGAGAACGAGAACGCTTTCGTCTGCGGGTGCTGGTCGAGGGAGCTGAGGCCGCCGCTGTTGGTGCGGCTCGAGGGCGCACGTCCGAGGAGCGGTTTCCGAGCCCGGGAGCGTGGCCGGTCGTGGCCGTCCCCGGGTTCGGAGGCGCTGTGGGTGCGGGCCTGTTTCATGAGGCCGCTGACGGCGAGGTCGATGACGGATTGCGCCGTCGGGCCGGTGGATACATCGGAAATCTTGCGTTTGAGCGGTGAGGAGGTGGTGGGGGAGGCGGAGATTGGGTTCTTCTTTATGGGTGATTCTTTGACTGGGGTGGGGACTCGGGTGTGCTCGTCCGGCGTCGCTTTTGATGTTGCTCCGTGTTGAGGATGATGTTCATTCGCCTCGGTGTCGGTTGCTCGAGCAGAGTCACCCGTTCCATCGGCTCTTAATTTTGGTTGGCTGGTCCGGTTGGTGGTTAAGGATGGCCGGTTCTGCTTCGGATGCGAGCCAGCTCGCGTCTCCCGAGACTTGCTACTCTGGGTGGGTTGCTTCTGAATTAGATAGGGTTCGAAAGGCTGCTTTTTCTCGTGACGAATGGAGGCCCAGAGCCAGTCCGCGGAGACTGCTGGGACTCCCCACTCCTGAGTATGCCGTAGCTTGTCCTGGTTCACGGGGCTTGCGTCGTTGCATACGAGGACAGAAGCCTTGGGCGTCAGGTACTCGTTGTATGTAGCGCCTAGAGGATTAGTCTAGGTCTCGTATGAGGCCAGAATGTCCCTTACCGATTAGATTGACAAGCTTGGACAAGTGCAGGAGATCGATACGGAAGAACCCGGTTGAGCACACCTTAAGGCCAGAGAATCCTTAAACCGTTAGAACACAGTAATAAAAGCTTGAAATGAGAGGGGTACCTTCGACCGGAAATGCGGGTATGGGCGTGTTTGCTACGTGAGACTCTGGAGGCACGAGTGTTTTCGCATCAAGGCATCTCTCCAGCCACATATCCGTCACCACCTCGCATTCGAATGCCAGATCATCGGTGGAAGGGACCTGAGCTTTAGACATCTTGAACGGAACAATTGTGTATAGACCGTGGCCGGTTTTCGGAATGTCTGATCGGGTGAACTCGCTCAGGGATCCCACTAACTGTGCCCCGTTGAAAGATAGATGGTGTCGTAGCACATTTGTCTGCCAAACATATTAGTATCTAGCCCAATGGCATCTGTACTCCGAGACAGACCTGTTTCGACGAGAACCCATGTATGTAAAAGTAACAACCGTGCAAAAACCCTTCGTCCTTGCGAGCGACCGGCTCCGTTGGTGGCTGTGGTCGGGACTCTTGCGCCTCCGCCATGGTCGTCTCGCTAGCGAACGACTTCACCTCCTGGAGTCCCGAGGTGGCTTTCCGCAAGGCCCGGGTCTCGCTCTGCTGGCTCCCCTTGGACCGGCCAAAGTCGCCCGCCTCAAACCCGATGCCAATGATATCGCCCCAGATGCCTTCGTTCTGGTCTCCCAGCTTCGTGCTCGCAATGCGGCGCAATTTCCGGGGTCGGGGGTTATTCGACGGGTTCTCACTGTCGGCTCCCGGAGCGGCCTTGGGCTTAGGCGCGGGCAGGGCTCGATGCCAGGCGCCAACGCCATGCTGCTCCGACGGCAACTGCAGGTCGTACAGGGCCTCTTCCAGGACCATCCCCCGCTCGAGACTGTCGGTGAGCCACTTCATGGACACGATCTTGATCCCCCACTGCATTGCGAACTTGTACTTGTCCCCGTCGGTGCTCCGCGCGATCAGGTGGCTGGTGCCTTTCACGAGGTCTTTCCTAAACTCGGCGCCATGGGCCGTGACGGTGTCCTGGATGTAATTCCGAACCGACACTAAGAACAGCAAAACAGACCGTTATTAGACGAAGTGCCCCAATCTCCCGCCAGATACCTTTGTCGGATGGACTCAAACTCACTATCCTCAAACCCCGTGATGCAGATGGACAAGCCGCCGAAAATCGGGAATCGGTATGCGGCCTCCAGCGCGCGGATATCCGTGTCCCCGCCCTGCATCCACGACTGACGCACCGCCTCGACCCATTCGGGCTTCAGGACCGTGACATCGGCCCGTTCCCGCGCGACGAATTTGTACTTGGGCGTGTTGACCTCGCCGATCAGCAGGTGGGTGACATCGGAGGTGAGATCGAACTTGTGGGTCGCTCCCATCTGACTCGCGACGGTAGCAATTTCGGACTATCGGCCGCGTAGAAGCGTCAGCGGACATGATCGTGGTGGGGGAGCCATGGTATCAAGGTGTGGGTGGGATTGGGACTTTACCCGCTGCTCGGGGAGGATTGAGGTGAAGCAGAGGACCACCCCGGCGAGAGGATGCTCCTTGTCTATTCCAGGGAATTGTGAATCAGTGCTGAGCTTGCGATTGTATTGGTCAACGAGAACTTACTTGCGCCCACAGTCTCAGCCATCGTTCATGGTTGCAGAGCAGAATGGACCTCCAACATGTGCGATGGGGTGGATCTTGGTTTGCTTCCCCGACTTCGCGCCGGATCGCGCGCAAAGGCGATGCGTGGTCACGTGACTCGCCGGTATTAATGGATGCCCCTTTCACTTTATCTAGGCTTATGCTTGGGAAGCCATGAACCTCTCTATTAATCACACAGTTGACTCCAAAATAACCCAAATTACAACCATGTCTCCGGCAGCACCAACTTTCACGTGCTTAGGGCACAATGGCTTATCAACATGTCACGTGCAGCAGGGCCCGGAGTGGCGCGGGCGCGTATCCAATCAACAACAACGCGCATATTTCCAGGGATTAATTACTTCCAATTCGAAAAAAAAAACCACGATCAATGATAAGATAGAAACCCACCTCCACAAGAATTCTCCCTCCACGAGACTCCATCGGCCCCGAGAAGCCAGCATATGCACCTCGCCAGACACCAAGTACGGGCGTCATCGGGTTCATATCGTCAATTCACCACTTCCAATGGTCCATTATTGATACTACCGCGATCCGCCTCGAATCGACTCCTCCCCCCTCTTCAGTCGTCTTGCTGTCGACCATTGTCTTCCTCCGGACGAGGACCAACCCCTACAATGTTCCAGCGAGCTGCCAACCGGTACCCCGCCGCGCCGGCGGCTCCGCTGCAATCCACGCTCGGTGCTCGCAGCAATAGCAGTACCGCCCCGCTGCACAAACCGGTGGCACCGGCGGCCGCCGCGGCGTCGTCGTTAGGGGTCAAGCGGAAGATTGAGATGACCAGCACGCAATCGACGCTGGGGTCGCTGCACGACGAGGTGTACTTCGATGAGAACGACTTCGACGACGACGAGGATTTGGACTTCGAGGCCCCCAACCCATTCACTCGTCCCGTTGTCACCGCCGCCGCCACAGTTGCTGCGCAGATTGCCAGACCGCCCAAGATCTCCAAGCAACAGCAACAGAAGCAGGAGGAGGAGGAGGAGGGTATGATGGCGGGATACCCGAACCTGAGCAGCGCGTTCGCGGACGATAAGATCTCCGTCGTCGATCTGACGGAAACACCCACCCGCGAGTCGGCGTCGGCCGTGAAGTACCCCGATCTCCCTCCGATACCTGTCGACGACAATCAGCCCCCCTCGAGCAGCATCCAGTACCCCTGGTCCTCGTCGCCCCCGTCCCACTTCCAGGCGCCGGCCAAGAAACCCCGGAAACTGCCATGGCTGGGCGAGGAGGATGGAGAGGATATGGGTCCCCGGAAGCCCGTGACGCCCGCGCGTCCGAAACAGACGGCTATCTGGAACAAGTCCGCGAGCGCGATCAAGGACGAGCAGAGGGAACTGCGGCGGCAGAATAAGGAAATGAAGGCGCTCGTGACGGGCCAGCTGCCACTACCCCGTGCGCAGGTGGCGTCGATCTTCCTCAGTGACGAGCAACGACACGTTCTGGACGCCGTGGTGCAGCAGGGGAAGAGTATCTTCTTCACGGGATCAGCCGGAACAGGAAAGTCGGTGCTGATGCGAGAGATCATCAAGAAGCTACGGGACAAGTACAAACGGGATCCGGATCGGGTCGCGGTAACAGCGTCGACCGGCCTCGCCGCTTGCAACATCGAGGGCGTGACGCTGCACAGCTTTGCAGGGATCGGATTAGGCAAAGAGCCGGTGCCCGAGCTGGTCAAGAAGGTCAGCGTCGAGTCCACTCGTCGCAAGAATGACGGCGATGACATGGCTAACGGAGTAACAGATCAAGAAGAACCAGAAGGCGCGGAACCGCTGGCTGCGCACCAAGGTGCTCATCGTCGACGAAGTGTCCATGGTCGACGGCGACCTGTTCGACAAGCTGGAGGAAGTGGCCCGACTGATCCGCAACAACGGCCGTCCGTTCGGAGGGATCCAGCTCGTCGTGACCGGCGACTTCTTTCAGCTGCCCCCGGTGCCGGAAGGCGGCAACCGCGAGGCCAAGTTCGCCTTCGCGGCCTCGACCTGGAACACCTCGATCCAACACACGATCCTGCTCACCCACATCTTCCGTCAGAAGGACCCGGAGTTCGCCGACATGCTGAACGAGATGCGACTGGGCAAATTGACCCCGCGCACGATCGAAACCTTCAAGCAGCTTTCTCGGCCATTGAACTTCCACGACGCCCTCGAGGCCACTGAGTTGTATGCTTTTGCCCTCCTCCAACGCAAAACAAGACAGGGTATTGACAGCCGGCTAGATTCCCCACCCGGCAAGAGGTCGACCACGCGAACAGTGCGCGCATGAACCGACTCTCGGGCGAAGTGATGACCTTCCACGCGCTGGACACGGGGACGATCCAGGACCTGCAGTTCCGCGAGAAGCTCCTCTCCAACTGCATGGCGCCGCCGGTGATCCACCTGAAGAAGGGGGCGCAGGTGATGCTGATCAAGAACATGGAGGACACGCTGGTGAACGGGTCGATCGGGCGGGTGGTGGCGTTCATGGACGAGGCGACCTTCGACTACTACATCGAGAACGAGAACGAATTCTCGGGCGGGAATAAGGCCGATGGTGGGGAGGGGGACATTGACATCGACAACGACGACGCGATCATGGCGCGGGCCCGCAAGAAGCTCAAGCCGCTGGCCCACAAGGACGGCACGGCTGCCGTCGGCGCGGGCGCCGCCGTGACGACGCGCAAGTGGCCGCTGGTGTGCTTCGTGCAGCCCGACGGCACGGAGCGGCATCTGCTCTGCCAGCCCGAGACATGGAAGATCGAGCTGCCCAACGGCGAGGTGCAGGCGCAGCGCCAGCAGGTGCCGCTGATCCTGGCGTGGGCGCTGTCCATCCACAAGGCGCAGGGTCAGACCCTGCAGCGCGTCAAGGTCGATCTGGGCAAGGTGTTCGAGAAGGGCCAGGCGTACGTCGCGCTGAGTCGTGCAACCTCCAAGGCGGGCCTGCAGGTTACGCGGTTCGAGCCCCGCAAGGTCATGGTCCACCCCCGGGTCATCGACTTCTACTCCAAGCTGGTCAGCATCACCGACGTCCTGAAGCCGAAGGCCGGTAGAGGGGCGGCAGCTGAACCGGAGGATGAGTTCGAGGAATACGACGGCTCGTTTTAGGGTCGGCGCGAGCACGGCCTTTGCATTCTTAGGGCGACGAACAATCTTATACTTGTCAAGGTCAGCGGGCTGGGTTGATGACTAATGATTGCATTGATTGTGGAGATATCGATATTTAGTAGGTGTTTGTTATATGGGTGCTAGATTGTGTAAGAGGGGCGTGGGAAAATTGCTGAACTGTACTGTATGTAGCATAGACCGATAATGACAAGAAGAATATGACATTAGATGTCTCCATCCATCGTTTACCATGGAACAGAGTTTCCCGAGCCCATAGTAAATAGGGACTGACGCTTTCGGGACTGGCATGCAATTGCAGGAGACCCAACCACTAACGAAAGCAAAAAAACGACGAATCCACACACACCCTTGAGCAAGAGTCGTCCCAAGCAGTTGGCGTGGGGCAAAACAAAAAGAGTGGCCCGAACCGCGATTCGAACGCGGGGCCTCTCGCATTTCAGATGTGGATCCCAAAGCGAGAATCATACCACTAGACCATCCGGGCTCTTATGATGTCACAAGCTAACTTGCTTACCCTATGTCCACCCATTCCCGGTGTCAATGAAAGGAAAACAAAAACAAAAGAAACAAGGCCCGAGCCGCGGATCGAACGCGGGACCTCTCGCAGATATGCTTGGGTTTGGAATCCCTAAGCGAGAATCATACCACTAGACCACCCGGGCTTGATGATGTCATGGGCTGGATTTATGAGAACATAGACGGGGACAATACGCTATTTGTGTAGAGGAGAGATAAAGGTGTGTTGTTGTCTGTGAAGCGGTTGTACTTACGGTTAAAAGACTGTATAAGTACTTGAATCCTGCTGCTTACCTATATTCTACAGATAATTAACTGCTTAGGATACACCTGTGGATAGTGTATACCAAGTATTGATGCTCGCCCCACAAATGAACTCCTGTTGGAAAGCTCCCGCCGTGTGCAAAATATATTGAAGTACCGAGGCTGTAAATTATAGTCGTACATTCGTCCGCTGTCGCCCGGTATATCAGCTCCCACGCTGGAGCTAATCATAGACAGACAAACCTTCTCCTTTCTTATTCTTCGACACACATCCACTTAAAAAAGTGTCCGAATGGCCCACCAATGCAAAGACCAGAAGGTGAAAAATAAACCACTTCCACCACTTCGGGGTTCTCGGATTTGGATCTTTCTGGCTCTGAGTTCTTTATTCTTCTAGCACAACTATTCCAGGGGTCCGATAGCTGGTCAGAGTTATGAGAATGGGTGCCTATACTGAAGTGGTCACGGTTGAGATGCAAAGATACAACTGCCGCAGTGGTCTCCTACTCGGCGTGGTCTGATATGGGAAGACGCCCTGCGAGCCTCGAGCGATACTACTGGTGAATGAATGCCATGCTCGAGGATCCTGATTCTGGGCTTGCTATTACCACATAACAAGAATATTGCTTCTAGAGGATCGTCCTCCATCGTCCTCAGCCGTCCTTGAATGCCGTGCTAGTACAGGCATTGGTTCTCCGGGGAGGGGGCCAGAGCTGCCAGAGGACCGCATACTACTCAGCCATGATTCTTCTGCAACGGCCAAAGCTCATTTAGTTGACCACAGTCTTCTTTTTTTTTCCTGCCCTCGATTGCATTGCACGTCTTGACCCAAGTGAGTGAGTAAATATCACCGTCCTAGCCTGTGAAATGGTTCCCCACCGTCCATATGCCAAAAAGAAATAACTTCAACTGCTTTCCAGTCCAGCCGCAGCCGCTCATCATCCCGAGCCGGTAATCCTCGACGACATACCAGGCATCCGATAACATTTCAAGTCGGTTAGCCGTATCACCAACGTCGACGTAGCCTCGGACATTTCCACGTTTTCCGCAAGCCCAGCACCGAGCCCCGTAACATGAACTGTTTTCCCCGCCAAATCGACACTCACACATGTGTCTTCCTTCCCTGGCCCTCCGTGCGGTTAGCTCGTCCTTGTCGCATATCCTCATCTACAATTGGTTGCGTAAAAGCAATGGTATCTTTGATATCCCGAAGCTGGAGCAATTCCTGTCACTAAGACCCATTTTCTTTGCCTATAGCGCGAAGTACCGAAGATATGTCAGGCTGCAGGTTGTTTTCATTATCGATGTTTGTTGTTGATGGTGTTGAAAAGCATCTCAGGATCACTGCCCGATCAGGATAGGGGTTCAGTAGGCGTATCACGTGAATGTCATGTGTTCTTTCCTGTCCGAGCAAGGTAACAGCCCGTGTGACTCAGATTGTTGTTGCACATGGTGCGTTTTTGGTCGACACTTTCGTAGTTGCCTCAGGCATAAAGGGCAGGGATTAGAAGACGAAAAGGAAGCAACTCGCGATCTCAAGGTACCGGTAGGTACCTACCGAGTAGGGAGTCACTACGTAGTAGTCATTATGACTGACATCTCGAGGTCCCATGGGACTACGGAGTAGTAACAGTTTAGTCCCACTCCCAGTGGGCCATGTCATGGCCCCGTTCCTGAATGCATCAACGGGTGATATATGGCAGCTGTATCAAAATCCAGACTGCATGCCTGATTTTGATCCTACCGAGATTCCGGTCGTGTGCCCTCCTTTCTCTTACACTGTTACCCAGCTGAGTGCAAACACAACCTGGTAAGTGCACTCAGACCCATATAAACCGCATCGATTTGCAGTAGCGGATCATGACCCTCACTCACCCCAACGAACGCAGTGCTCAATATGTCGCAACTCTTCCGGCTCTTGGCAACAACACCATCACAACCACACAGTTCCTCTCGTGGAACCCGAATCTCATTGGTATCTGTGATAATACGACCGAGCAATATGTTTGCACGAGTGCACCAGGCGGTACTTACATCTCGCCCCAACGAACAAAACAACTAGTAGCGGAGACCCGCGCGGCGGAGGTGACGGAAGTGGGACATCCACGGGAAGTGGTGGAGTTGGTGGCTCCTCCAGAAATTCCACTCTCGTGGCACCCGGCGGCACTCCACCCAGCCCGACCCAATCTGGCACACCATCAACGTGTGTGATCGGTATGCTCAGGCGCAGTCGGGCGATGGCTGCGACTCTTTCAGCCAGGACTTCGGCATCACGTCACCGCAGTTGGAGACGTGGAATCCTGTCCTTGGGTCAAATGGCGAGAACTGTCTCACACAGTTCTTCGCTGGGAACTGGTACTGCGTCGGACTTGCAACAGGTACAACCACCACTTCCACAGCCAGCTCCACGGGTGTACCTACTCCCTCCCCAGTCCAATCCGAAATCGACCCGCAATGTACAAAATATTCCGCGGCCGTCTCTGGAGATACCTGCATCGCTTTCGCCTCGGCGAATAATATCACACCCGCCCAGCTTTATAGCTGGAACCCAGCCCTTGGTAGCGGGGGCTCGAACTGCGGCTCGGATTTCTGGGCCAACGATTACTATTGCGTCGGCGCGCCTGATAGCTCAGCTACTACAACAGCTGCGCCTACTAGCACGGCTGTAGTCACGCCTTCGCCAATCCAGTCAGGCATAGACCTCCAGTGTACGAAATTTGCCGAAGTGGCCTCGGGAGATACTTGCCCCGGCTTCGCCACGAAGAACGGTATCACGGCCACCGAGCTCTACTCCTGGAACCCAGTTCTCGGCGCAGGAGGCGCGAATTGTAATTCTGATTTCTGGGCCAACGAGTACTATTGTGTCGGTGCACCTGGAAGTTAGTCTACTGACCATTTTTCTTGGTTCATTCATGGAGTATTACTGCTGTACTAAGAAATCGAGCAAGATACCTTGTGGTGACAGAAAGACAGAAACCCGTTTTTACCGAAGTACAATGTCTCACACGGCGTGGCGGATTCATAAATAAAAGTACTTTTTCTTGGTCCACAAGCGATGATACATGTAGTATGTCGTTGCTGGAACCCAGGTTCAAGCGACTGGGGAGGGGATGGTTGCTATCATTAAAATATAGGTTGAGGCTACTCGCAGGACAGACCATTCCATTTTCACAACACAGTGGATTAACAGGTGCATCGAATACCGTGCATCCAACTTCCAAGTTGTCAATCATGATATTACGCACATCCACCGTGTCCCGATATACCAGCTCCTATGACTCGAGAATCGGCTCGTCACTCAATCTATCAAATACTAGCTATGTATTGTTCCAAGTCCGGACCCAATACATACGACCACAGGGTGTGGAAAATAGGGCTTCCCGTCCGCTCAGCCGTACTCAAGCCACACGCCGGGAGGTTAGTAGTTGGGTGGGTGACCACCAGCGAATCCCTTCTGTTGTATGTTTTTTTTTTGCTTTTGATTTTTTGCCTGGTTGGTTGGGTAAAATGTCCTTCCTCTGAGTACTCCGTACTAACTCAGGCCGTATAAACTTCACCCTCCGGGGCAAGCCCGAATCGCCGATGTGGCCCTCCTTAGCTTCCCCTATCAGCCCTCCCACAAACGCAGCATTCCGTTCTTGACGATGCCATTAATCATCATCGTACTTGCTGTGTCGCATATCGGCTCACGTGGTCATTTCTCCCATCCCAGGTGCACGGGCTAGTGGTGTGGCATACTGACCGAGATGATGAATTGAGTTCGAGATAAGCGCGGCGGGAGCCGAAGTATATTCCCATCATCCCGCTCTTCCCCGCCAAACTTACCTACATTGTCGAAACCGTGGCCAATCAAAGTAAGACAACCAGCATTCCTACATTTCCAAAAGAATAAAAGAAAAAAAAAGAAATAGAAAATCCCACAAGAATGCGGAATTCTTATGCGAGTATATGCATCCACGATCATGTTAGTGATATACGAGACCAGAAGCTCAAATAATTCTTCCTTTCTGGAGAAAAGCCCGGCAGGACCGTCAGACCTCTTGGGGACGGGAATTCGATTCGGCGATGAAGCCAGCTATAGAATAGAGAATTCCCACCAGAGAAAACAACAAAAGCCCAGTACTAAGCTGGATGAGAACGATGAAATAAAGAAAGAAACATTATCAGAGAAACCCACATACCCCTTCGGATCGACAACCCCACCAAAAAAAACACAAAGAACAAAAAGCAAAAAAGAAGTGGCCCGAACCGCGATTCGAACGCGGGGCCTCTCGCATTTAAGATGTGGATCCCAAAGCGAGAATCATACCACTAGACCATCCGGGCGCTTATATTATATCTGCCTTTACTCTGTAAACATATTCTCATTAACGCATACAGCCTTCTAAACATCATGTATTCACCAGATTGCGTGGGGTTACATGGAGGCATACATAATACTATTAGCCAGTATATAACCACAGATACAGTCATTGCCACTAGTACAACCTCGCTGAGTGGCATCAGGTTCCATGAGGGGCTGCCGATATCTGATTCTCTTTGATGCCCGTCTCCGCTGTGACGCTCCCTAAGGCTGGGATGCTGTATCCACGAGCACGTCTAGGTCTTTGTCTGAATCCTTTGACTGCGTCAACCATTACTGTGCACGCTATTGTAGAGAATCGATGATGGGAGATCGACCAATAGCCCGGCAAGTCCCATGGAGCCTGTAACCCCATTCCGCGAAGTACAGTACAGTCCTACACCCAGACCTCACCCTACGTAAGAAACCCAATTACTGCAAAAAGAACACAACATCAACATCCATTCCTCTGCAAAACTATAAACATCAAAAGACATATATTCATCAACCAGATCATATGTTCACCATCCCTTATGTACAGTACTATGTACAGTACCATATCCCCAATCATCCAGACCACGATCACGACCACGACCCCCCAGCATCACCCACAACCGCCCCCTCAAATCAGATCTAAGCCTGCGCAGCGAATCCGATTCTCGGGCCCTCCGAGTCGAAGACGACGTACTGGCTCTTGAGGAACACATCACCGAGGATGGACAGGCCCAGGCCCTCGTTGGACTGGATGCCACCGTAGCAAGTAGAGCTGCCGGTGGTGATGGGGGCGTAGTTGATGTACTTGCCGGGGACGACGGCGGTGTAGGAGCCGATCTTGACGCTGAAGTCGGGCAGGGAGGTGGAGCAGGAGAAGACGTAGCCGCCGTAGTTGTAGCTGTAGGAGGCGCCGCGCACGCTGCTGTAGTAGGTGGAGACGATGGAGTCGTCGAGGAGGATGAGGGTGGTGCCGGTGTCTGTGTTGCTGTTAGGAGTGGCTGTGGAGAGGGGGGAGAGGGGGTTGGGTATAGGGTGGGGAAAGGAAGGCAACGTACCAGCAATAGCAGAGAAAGAAGAGGAGTGGGACGCCGAGCCCACGCCGTAGCCGCTGGCGGTGAACTGCCAGAAGCCCTGGCGGGCGTCGACGTTGGCGTAGGTCAGCGAGCCGGTGTACTTGGAGGAGTCGATGAATCCGAAGTCGTAGGTACCGGCGGCGTGGTACTTCAGGTCGACAGCGAAGAGAGGGCTGTCCAGGCTGGACTTGACGGTGTCGAAGAAGGTGGTCTGGGCCTGGGGGGAGACTGCACCGCGGGATTAATACAGGTTAGACCACGCAGAGAGAAGAAGAAGAAGACATACCCGTGTTGATCAAGCTGAAGGCCAGACCCAACAGACCGTCGGTGTCGGTGTCCTGGACGAACTCGGAGCTGATGCGGCTGGCGGCCTCGACGGCCTGGCTGCTGGCCGTCACCGTGCCGACGGTGACCTTGTCCTTGTAGACGTCGCCGCTGGCGGAGCTGCCGTCGCCGTAGGAGATGCTCCAGCTGTAGCCGGACAGCTTCTGGGCGGTGCTGCCGGGGGTGTAGATGCTGTGGCCGGTGCGCGAGGAGGCGGCCAGCTCCGAGGAAAAGACCCAGAGGTCAGCGGATCCGGTGTCGAAGTCCAGGTTCAAGGTCGAGCTGCCCACGGTGACGGGGGTCAGGTAGGAGACGTCGTTGGCCTGGGGGATGGTCACGACGCTGCCACTGACGGCGGCGGCCTTGACGCTGGCCGGCACCTGGGCGCCGTACTTGGCCAGCGCGTTGGCATACAGACCCGGCAGGTTGACGGTACGTCCCTTGCTGCCCTCCTTCTCGACCTGCTTGACGGAGAAGTTCTTGACGGGGACAGAAGCCTGCGTCTCGGCCAGGGGAGCCGCGGTGGCGGCGGTGGTCAGACCCAGAAGAAGGGCTGCAGCCTTGTTGAGGACGACCATGGTGGGGGATGTTCAAGCAGATATCACAAGGAGGAAGAGAAGGAGAAGGGACCTGCTGCTGCTGCTGCTGCTGGATGAAGAAGAGAATCTCAATTGACGCGGGTTTCAATGTGCTCTTTATACCTTCTGCAGCCGTGCTGTACATGCTCAGTCCTTACACTCTGCATACATCCTCATCCACGCACGAGTATTCTATCTCGCCGAGTGTATACTACCGCCCAGGGTAATATCCAAATGTCTCACTCCCCTCAATCACGCCAACGGAGACCGGAGCACCACCAATCCATCAGGAAGCAAAGACCGACGATCATCGCCGCTAATCTAGTGGGGGAGGGGGAATGGTCCAATGGCCAGCCTTATCCGCATGAGGTTATTCCCCCCAATTGCGCCAAGCACAAGACTATATGGCTAGGGAACCAGTCACCGGCGAGCGTCAGACTGCCCGTACCTGGCAATCCTTCGTGAGGAGCTTGATTGGGGATAAGAACTTCTGCAGTCTTCACAAGAAGACCAAGACTACCAAGAATTGCTTGCGCCAATCCTCACGCTCCAAGCCATCGCCACCCTCCGTCTTCTTCAGAGAATATACTTTGAGGTGAAGTGTATGTAGGTAGGGTAGTGGGAGCGAGACGGACGTTCGAACGGACTCCGGAACACTCACCTTTCGTTGCCCCTCTTCATCTGGTATGGTACCTGAACTAGACTACCCCTTTGGAAGAGAGTCAGTAATCGATTAAACACTGAAAACATCATAGACCATCTTGAATTAGACCCTCTTCTTATCATAGAAAATCAGCGACGATCGGCGTATCCAGTACAGGATAGATAGAGAGAGTACAAAAAGTGCCCCCAGTAAACCCTAAGAAGCCCTAACAACGGTGCGTCCCGAGGTACTGTCCCTAAGTTACCCCAAGACCCTGAGCCTAGCCCAGGCACATTATTATTATCATCTCAGTGCAGTTTACACTATCACAACTAACTTAATGACTTAGTATATGAACAGAGTAAGCTAAAAACCAAGCTAAAATGCCCAGACCCAACCTCCGACGGTGCTCCTGACCCCTGTCCCCCCCAAAGTGGGTAATAAATAATCTATGCAATGCAACATAACCTAAGCCAACCCTCTCGGTGCGCAACGGAGAAGTTCGACCTCGGCCTCGGCAGCCTCCGGTCTTCACCAACAGTACCACCAGTAAACCCCCTCACACTTGCCTTCAACGAGTCAACACTAACTAACAGTCTAACAGTCACTGCAACGGCCAATGGCCACTTCTTCGACGACCTTAGCTGCAAGTTCAACCAACTTAACCCAATCCCCCCAATCACAACCCGTCGATCCCCACCCGATCTGCACAAATCAAAATCCTGCAGGGTCTGGGGGCAGTGGTGCCTTCTGATATGCTTCCTGCAGGGTCGAGGGGGAAATTAGCCAGGCTGCGGGCGGGCGACTCGAGACCCTGACTTCCCCCCCCCCCCCTCCCTTCACACTGCACTTCTCTCCATCCTTCTGGGAGTGAAAACCAACGGGGCTCCGATTGAAGAGTCGCTGATAAGGAATGCATGGGGCAGCTGAAGATTTCGCTCCTGAATACTGTCAGTG